ATCATGACTTAACATTTGAAACATTTGATTTTTGGAGGAGAATAAATTTATCTCCAAAATAAGAGATAAACAAGAGAACATTATAAATGATATTGATAAATATATAAAATAATTGTACATTATATAATTTTGTTGTAGATTTAAACTAAGCTTTCTTATTTAAATGTGTTGAAATGAACAAGAAATGTTTTGCATTCATACATTGGTTGATTCTTATATGGCCTTAAACTTGTTTTGGTTTGGTTGCATAATATTACGATGACTACCTCTGAAAACATGTCTTCTAATGTCTGGCATCACTAAATACTAGAAGATTTTAAGAAGATGTCAACAATTGAATTAGCCCATAAAGCCAACAAATAACTAACTAAATAAAAATAAATATTTTCCCCAGTTTTACTTTTTTTTTTTGATAATAAATAAGAAAAGTTTAAAAGTGATAATTTACATTTCATGACTATTAAATTTGATAATTTGAAACAAATATAGCCATTGTCACAATACAATAACAAGAATTCTTCTCTTTAAGTCTTTTATACATCATGGAATAGGTTGCTAAGTAATAAAATTTTAAATGTATGAAAGTAAAACTTTTAAACTTTTCTTATTTATTATCATTGTTATTTTTTGCTGTTTACATTCATTAATATAATCTTTGTTACCTGCTTCTTAATTACATATTTACTTAGTAGTTCTTCAGGTCCTTGGCTAGGGAGAAATATCATGAACTTAGAAGTTTGTATCCTTTCTGCCTTCTTTGCTAGTCTTATTTCATTAATTCATTAAGAATTAATTAAGAGCCTTGGTACTACAGTGGTTTAAAGCACCCTGTTATTAACACAGCTGCCTGCAATTTACTGCTGGTTCGAATCTCGCCAAGGCTCAAGGTTGACTCAGCCTTCCATCCTTTCTAAGGTAGGTTAAATGAGGACCCAGTTTGTGGGGGCAATAAGCTGACTTTGTATAAATATACAAAAGTATGAAGGCTATTGCTTAACGCACTGTAAGCCGCCCTGAGTCTCCGGAGAAGGGCGGCATATAAATCAAATTAAAAAAATAAATTAAAAAAAAAAAGAATGAATTTCATTAACAATGGTCCCTTAGTTCCTCCAATTGCTTCATATACTAACAACTATTTAGTTATTAATTTGTGTAGAAGATACCGTAATACGGTCTAATGAAAAATAATTTGAAAAAAGGTATCTCGATTTTCATGTTTGCAAACTAATGAAAAAAAATCTATTTAACTGACAGGATACAAGACCTAGTACAAATATGTATGAGGTTACATTGATCAGATGTCTTCCTTTTACTTCACCATTCAAGAGAAGGAAAGCAGATGATTGAAGGTTGCCTATGAGATCTAGAATCAGGCTCCAAAAACATCAATTCAACCACTCCCTGCTAGGCTGATACTTAAAAAGCTAAACTAGGTCAGGCCTGGCATGAATTGATATAAGAGATCACTAGGAAATTACAGGGTTGCAGATAGGACTGCAAAGTATTATTATTTATTTCTTTATCATATGAGAACATACCAACATATAATGAAACCATATGAAGCAATTAAAATACCTTCATAAGATTTCATAAAACAAATGCTTCAGAGTGATTTAATCTCCAATGAACTTCATGGGAAAGTGATGGTGTGCTTTTGTGGTTATTCTGGCTCTCAAATTTAGCCAGATTGACAATCTTAGAATTATTATTTGTAAATTAGAACTTTTGATTACTTTGCTTTTTCAATGTAGCCCAAAGTGTTCTAGCTAGAATTCATTTCCCTCCTCACTATCATTTTCAACAATGGAAATCCACTTAAATTTATTTGAACAAAAACTTTATTAGGATCAACAAAAATATCAGACTGTGAAATGTTTGGTTTTTCAGGACCATTAATAGATAATGTAGAGCAGGGGTGTCAAACACAAGGCCTGGGGCCAGATTTGGCCCATGGGGTGCTTAGACTGGCCCACGGGACCGCCCTGGAAACAGCAAAGGACCAACCTGGGTGCCTCTGGCTGTGAAAAATGGAACATGGGAGGGCTGCACTTTCAGTCATGACGGCATCCTGAAGCCCTCTGCCAGCAAAAATGGAGCTCAGGGGCTGCAGGAGGCCATTATGGCCAAAAACGGGGTCCAGGGCCTACACACAGCCCTCCTGAGCACCATTTTCACTGGCAGAGCTGGAGGCTGTCATGGGCAAAAACGGAACCTGTGGGGCCACGCACAGCCCCGAGCTCCATTTTTCCTCTCAGAGGGCTAGCAAAAAAACTAAAAACAAAACAAAAGGAGAAATGTTTCCCCTTTTGCATTTCAGCAAGAAGGGACAGAAAAGGGAAAGAGATAAGAGAAAGAAAAAGAAGGAAAGATGAGAAGGAAGAGTGGAAGGAAGAAGAAAGGAGATGGAAAAAGGAAGGAAGGAAGGAAGGAAGGAAGGAAGGAAGGAAGGAAGGAAGGAAGGAAGGAAGGAAGATTATAATGAGAATGAGGGAGGGTCTGAGGGAAGTCCTGCCTAAGCACTTGGCCACCACTGGTACCCCCGACATAAGTGATGTCGAGCTGGCCATGCCAACCCTGGCCATGCCCACCCCAGCCCCCTAAGGTCAAACATAACCCTGATGTGGCCCTCAATTAAATCAGGTTTGACACCCTGATGTATAACTAGATAAACCAATGGTCTCACCTGTATGATTTTGAAACTAATAGTTTTATAAAAAGAAATCTTACTAAAATCTAACTAAACCCTATTTTAAAATTTTAAATTGATAGATGAGAAAATAACTAGAGTTCAATTCTTTCAGAGGGCCTTCTTCAACTGGCATTCCTTCAGAGTTTTGGTAACTATAATTTTCAGAGTTATAGATATTCACATAATTTGTTCCTGCTGCCTAGGCATTATATAGTTGCAGTCATAATAGACCAGAATTCCAAACTGGAGAAGGCTGATTGTTTTGCATGAATTAGTGTCCAACTATCACCAGAATTACAATACTTAAACTAAATTCCTTTGTTTGAAACCCAGACTAGATGTCAGGGTTCCAAGTAATGAACCCAAAGGAATCAAAACTCAAGACAGGCATGTTCCTCAAAGTATAGTTTTCCCAAATGATACACAGGTCTGGCGGGGTGAGTGGCTGAAGGATGTTGGCTTTATGGACTGTAGTGATCCACATAGAATTATTATATGAGATGGTGATACTGCAATTAAATGTTTTCCAAGTATATAGGAATATAATCAAGATGTTGAAAGCAACACCAAAGCATTATTATTCTCTACAAAATCAGAGAGGGTAATTTTACATTTCAAGTTTATATATATAGTTTCTTTTGTTACAACAGAAAAATTGGCAGCTGGAACAAAATATATTAAAATATATTAGTTCTATAGTTTTCAGGTTGTGGAATCAGCTAGCTAAAATAAAAATTCCTGAAACTCCTAATCAAGAAACCTAAACAAACAAACAAACAAACAAACAAAATAATAAATAACTGCAGTGGAATGAAATTTGTATTGTGTGCCCTTAGTTTCTTGGAAGCCTGTTAAATTCTTGTCTAACTTTAGAGTTCTGAAAAAGATATTTTGCAAATATCCTTTGCAGAACTCTAGAGTGTAAAACTCTAGTGTAAAAATTCTAGATCCTAATGCAGTGATGGCGAACCTTTTCGGCACTGACTAGCCAAACTGGAACACATTTGCGCCCTGGCCAGTTGGTCTTTGGGTTTACAGTGCTCCGGCGTGCGCGAAGTCCAGCTGGCCGGCACGCATGTGCACCCCAGAAACCAAAAGAGCAGCTGGCGATGGCGCATGTGCCCACAGAGAGGGCTCTGCGTGCCATCTCTGGCATGCGTGCTATATGTTCGCCATCACGGTCCTAATGCATCAGATTTGTTCTTACGAACTTAATTAATTTCAATTAATAACGGATAACTATATTTTAATTGCTATTCCAAGTTTACTTCTTTTAAAATAAGCACTATCATTTTAACACACAGTGGATTTACAAAGTGACAAATCAGAGTTTTAAAAGAAATCCTTAGATAATAATCAACCCTTGCTTCTAAGTGATATCAATATCATTTGATATGTCATTTCTTGGCAACTTTATGGAAATTGGCTAACATGGCAATTGTACCAAAAGAATGGGAATTATACCAAAGGAAGATAATATTTGCAGTTCAGGGTTTTTGGAGACAGGAATTGGGTATGGCCAGTCTACAGAAAAGAAGGGCTAGGGGTGACATGATAACAGTATTCCAGTATTTGCGGGGCTGCCACACAAAAAAGAAGGGTCAGTTTATTTTCCAAAGCACCAGAAAGCCAAACAAGCAACAATGGATGGAAACTAATCCAGGAAAGTAGCAACCTGGAATTAAGGAGAAACTTCCTAGCAGTGAGGAAGGACTACAATTAATAAGTAGAACAGCTTGCCTTCAGAAGCTGTAGCTTTATCACTGGAGATTTTTAAGAAAAGACTGGACAGCCACCTATCTGAAATGGAATAGGGTTGAGCAGTGGGGTTGGACTAGAAGATCTCCAAGGTCTCTTCCAGCTCTATTCTTATTGATTGAATAACTTTTTATTTTTGGTTCCAAGATGAATCTGAAAATAGCTGGAGTGTTTATATATACCAAGCAGAGAAAGAGTCCCAGCACTCAAACCCACAGCTGTGAAAAACAAAGCTTAAGAGGAAAAGAACAACTAAAGGATCTTTGCTTGTCCTTCTAAACGCAATACATTTCAGGTCTACCACTATTTATAGTAAATGTAATTGAACTACAGGTCCACATAAGCTTGCGTATGTTTGTTCTAAATAATTATCATACTTAGTACATTTGCCAAAAAAAAAAAAGATTTCTAAATATAGCTAATATTGTTCTTTTAGCAGGAATCAAAATCCATTATTAGGAGATAGAATTTAACTGTTATTATTACAAACTGTTGTTACCTCATACATTGTAAATTTATTACACAAGGCAAATAAATGGGTCAAACGCAAATATTTCTTGTTAATGCTTTATTAGTGTACTTTTTTCCAAGCTCCTTCATTGGACAAACATAATGGAAACTCCAAATAAAAATTTAGAATTTTCAGCTGTTCAGAACAAGAGAAACTATGGCATTCCATTTACCCATTTTTTTTCTTTAAAGAAAAGGATATTGATAGAACCATTAGGCACGCAGTTGACACATACTATACAATTTTATGCACATGTCACTTATATATCTTCTACATGTTGATGTGCTCTTTAGATTTTGCTCCTTGCAAGAATTATGCTTTTTTGAGCATAGAAAAGATTTTCAAGGAGTGACAAACCAGACTTTTAAAACAAGTCCTTAGATAAGCCAACACAGCAGCAATAACTGAATATTATACATTGTTAATATAGTTTACCCTTGATCTCAAAACCTTAAAAATGTTTTTTACAATTATTCAAATACACATGCATTACATGAAAATATTGCACTAAAGTTAGAATTGAGAGTGGAGTTCATATTTTATTTTTTAAAATGATTACACTTTCTGGTTGCATTGAAATTGTTTAATTGTAGCAACACCAGAGGCAGAAGCTTGAGGATGAACTATATGAATATTCAACCTTACTATCCATTCTTTTAAATTAAGGCTAAATGCATTTGTTGGACAATGGCACATTTATTTTCAGAGGCTAGTCATAGCATTCTCAGGCTGGGATGTATGTGACTAATTATGTGTAGCAGTAACATAAATTGTGTGGATGCTTTAAAGGGTATAAAATGATGGGCTATAGTTCATGTAATGTCAATGAATCACATGTGAGATAATTATAATAATTTATTAGGGTGATGTATATAACATGCTACTTCCCTGTAGGCTCATTTTGAAATTAAATACAGATGACAAAACACTATGGTATAGTAACTATTAACATAAAAAGCATATTATGTTTCCTTAATGCAAAGGTTTATTGGCTAAGAAATAAATTTCTAAAGTCAACTACTGAGAATAATCCTAAAACCTACAGATGATATTCATGGATAAGAGATACATTCTATTTTACTGACTGAGATTTGTCCATTTATATTTTAGATCTGGGATAATCTACAATAATTATTTCAAGTTCAAGTAAGAAATCGAAGGATAGTTCTAATTTGTCTCCTACTGGGCTTCCTTTGTCTGATGGTCTATGGAGATTCTGGTTGCCCACCACTTTAAAAAGCAACTGCCTGGAATACAAGGAGATTTAGAGGTCAAATATACATGTTGAGAGGATGAAAGTTTAAACTGCAGGGGTATTCAAAGGACCCAATATTCCTTCAGTTAAAATGCAAAGAACATCAAAATGATAGACTGGTGTCCTATTTTTCTATGTAAAATAATTTCATTTTTTAAAAAATAGAAACATTTATATATCTAAATCTCATTATAATTTGTATAGCCAAACTATTTTTATTTTTTTATTAAGAAATGGGAAAAACAAAAAAACAAAAAATCAGAAATACATTAAAGAAGATCAATTGTTATCTATATTTAGAAGCATGGGGCATGATAGGAAATGATATTTCATGTATTTTATCTTAAGTTGTCCTGCTACCACTAAAATATATTACACATATAGTATATAGATCTGTAATAATATTTTGTTTAAAAAGCCACAATTGCAATTTAGCACATGCTTCTTATAATGAACATGTAAAAATTTCTTTTTCAGGTTGGGCAGTACTAAACAAGCTTCATATTGTTGAAGCAATGCTGCTCCTTTAACCTTTCGTTTATTCTGAAGCTGCAGATTATTTTCTCCTGAATGTAAATAGCAACTTCAGTTACAAGACCTTTGCAAATACAGTGGTATTTACACTCAAAAGTCAAATATTTCTTCAAAAGAAATCATGTTAATGAACCAAATATTCTTAATGAAAATGTTCAATATAAGAATAGTACATTAATATTGTAGTTTGGCTATTCTTGGGAATTTAAACATCTTTTTAAATAGACTACATAATATATTATTTTGAAGTTGAAACAAACTGTACTTTCTTGGTGGTGTCAGGGATTCTTGAAGAAAAATAAGGGGGGGGGAATGTAAATTCAAGTCCAACAATTATTACTTCATTCATAATTAGACATTATGCTGGAAGTAAAGAAAACAGCTAGGGCATTCCATATAGAAAAGATTTATTGAAATTTATATTATGCAAAAAATATTAAAAGCTATGATAATCATGCTTATTTTCATATATATACATATATATGCACACACACACACACACACACACATATATATATATGTCTTTTTTCCTTTTTCGTAGGCTTTTATGTGCATATTCTTTCTAGCCAGGTTTTACCTACGTAAACTAAGTTGTTCTACAGCCCTGGTTCTGTGAAATCTCATTCACAAGTTTCTGGGCCTTTTTTCTGCTGACAAACTGCAACTCTGTGTTGCTCTCTGGGAGACTCAGATAGCTATTTCTGCCTATTAAGGCGTCATCAGTGAGCCACACCCACTTCTCAGATATCCTCCCTGTAAAGGTACAATGTGTCTACAATAAAAGCCTACGAAAAAGGAAAAAAGACACATTGTACCTTTCAGGGAAGATATCTGAGAAGTGGGTGTGGCTCACTGATGACGCCTTAATAGGCAGAAATAGCTATCTGAGTCTCCCAGAGAGCAACACAGAGTTGCAGTTTGTCAGCAGAAAAAAGGCCCAGAAACTTATATATATATATATATATATATATATATATGTGAGAGATTTATTTATTTCAGGAACTTGCTATGGTTTGCAGATGACTATTTAGGAAAGCCCATAAGACTTTCATATCAGTAACAATTCATTTTAGTAATTTACCAACTGAGGTGAATGTATCAGAGTGATTCTTTAAGGTCAAATAGGACAATTTTTAAAAAAGAAGTTCCTAATGTCAAGAGCATAGAACCTTTCTCCCAGATTATTAACAAGGAAATAAATGTATTAACTCTTGGTTTAATTTTAAATATTTTTTGAGCCTTCTCATTTAAAAGTTATATATACCCCTGAAAGGACTAATTTGAAGAATATATCAAGACTCTATTTTTTTTTCTACCCTATTCCACTTAATAGTAAAACTTGAACAAAGTGTTTCTTAAGTTCATAAAGGTTTTCCACATATTAAACTTAATTCGTAAAAATAATTTGAAAGCATATCATTTGTCCACTAGAACTCTCATTATGCTAGTCCAACCTCTACAGAGCTAGGAGATACTCATAATACAAATCAAATCACACCTGATTCTCACATTGCACAATCTCCTAGTTCCAAGCAAAGCAGTCAAGTCCTCTATTTCTACCCTAGAAGTTGTGCTTTACTTTAATCAATGGACCCAATATAGCATTTTTCATTGTTGGCAATTACAATCTATAAGATTCGGAAGAGACAGAGATTTTCACAGCAAACTAGTAGTCTTCTCAATGTTACACAAAGATACACCAAATCATTTAAAACACATGAATCCAGTTCATGATAGTGGTTGCATTAGTGATGAAAAATGAGAAGAACCACATTTCTTATGTATGTATTAATGATCTAATATAAGATTCTAAAAGATTGGTGTGAGAATAACAGCACGAGTTTTAAGCCCCAGAGAACATGCCCAGGTTTTGGGCAAATTTTACAGTAGAGAGTGTCACCTTTTCTGTAAATAAGATGATTGTGTAGATTGTAGTTTATGTTTATATACCTGCATCTGCTTTGAATGTGAATGCAATTTTTTGAAGAGATCATGGAATCCATACTCTGAAAACAAGGTTTCAAAAAAGCCCTCCAGAAAAACATACACCATTCTCTTATTTAGCTGAGTATGCTGGAACATTTCAAAGACTCGGAGAATGCCTTTTCTTGTTGTCTCAGCACCAAGGATATGCTTCAACTCATCTAGAGAAACAACAAAACAAACTTCAGTAGAAGCTTTATCTTCATTTTCACCTATACATTAATTGAATGAACTTCTGATTATAAATTATTAAAAATACTGTTTAAAATGGATTCTGTAAAACATTTAATATTACATTCAAGAAATATTACTTTTTTAGTACAAGTATTATGTCTCAAGTTGTTTTATAAAACATTATTTATTTGGAGGGAAAACAAGGCTGTATTTAGTTGATAATTAAAAAATAACATGAGGATTATTATGAATGTATTGGAATACTACGAAATCCACTCTGAGAAACAGTGAGCATTGATCTTTCTCGACGCACAAAAAGCCTTCAATAACATGAAGTGGCAGTTTATGACGTTACAGTTAAAAAACACTGAACTTCGGTGAAAACTTTATGAAGATGATCCAAGCAATATATTCCAATCAAACGGCGAAAGTGATAGTAAACGGAGAAATAACAGAAAAAATTGACAAACAGTGGTACAAGACAAGGATGTCCATTATCTCCTCTTTTATTCATACTAATCCTAGAGGTCTTACTCAGGCAGACCTGACAAGACCCAGAAATAAAAGGTTTGAAGATAAAAAAAGAACAATACAAAGTACAGATGACCTAGTATTTATTTTGGAGGAACCCTAGAAACAGGATCCAAATTAATAAAGAAAATAGAAGAATTGGTGCGATGGTAGGACTTAAAATAAACAAGGAAAAGATCAAGATATTGACAAAGAACCTTACAAATAAACAGAAAATCGTACTGATGGAAAAGTTGGGCATCCAGATAACTAAAAAAGTTAAATACTTCAGAATTTGGCTAACAACAAGATGTACATCTATTAAAGAAGACAACTATACTAAATTAATACAGCAAATAAAGACAGATCTGGACAAAAGGAAAAATTTACAGCTGTCGTTTGTCGGAAGGACAAGAAAAATGAATATTCTACTGAAATTGTTATTCTTGTTTCATGCAATTCCGATAAAATTAGGAAAAAAGTTTTTTGAAGATTTAAATAGATGGATGTTATGTTCATCTGGCAAGGCAAAAAACCAAAAATCAAATTGAAAATGTACCAAAAACAAGGGAGGATTTGGGCTACTGGACTGGGAGCTGTATTATCAGGCCTCAGTGCTCACATGGGTGAAGGAATGGATAAATTTGAAAAACAAAATAATATTGATGATAGAAGGGCATGATTTACAATTGGGGTGACATGCATTTGTATGGTATGGGAAAAGTAAACCACATAGTTACTTCCAAAGGCACTATATCAGAAATGCTCTGATGCCAGTATGGTAAAATATCAAACAGAATCACTATATGAAAATACCGGTCTGGCTATCTATGATGGAGGTGTTAATATACCCTATTGTTTTAGATCTGGATAAAATTGTAAAGTACAAAGATATACTAAATGAACAAGGGGATTTAAAATCAAAACAGGAACTAAAAAATTAGGGAATTGATTTGGACTGGTGGCCACATATTCAAATACAAATGAGAGATAAGAAATATACAGTGATGTATGGATTTTATAAGAAACCCCAAGAATTGAACAAGATACTGTTAGGGACAGATGAAAAATTAATAAAGAAAATTTATAATTACCTATTGAACTTTAAAATGGAAGCAGAATATGTAAAAGAAACCATGATAGCATGGGCAAAATTTTTTGGGTATACTATAGAATTAGATAATTGGCAAAAACTATGGGAAAGAAATTACAAATTAACAATGTCAATGGCATACAAAGAAAACCTGTACAAAATGTTTTATAGATGGCATTTGTCACCAGCAAGAATGGCAAAAATTTCCCAAACATGTCACTAGAAAGTTGGAAATGTAAATTAGGTTCCAGGATTTTACTTATCATATGTGGTGGATCTGCCAACGGCAAAAAAATATTGGTCAAAGATAGATTAGAAAAGATGACAGCACAGCAAATAGATCTAAAACCAGAACTATTCTTATTAGGTATACTACCCGGGAAATACAACAAAAGAATCACATACTTAATGTAACATGTAATAACAGCAGCTAGAATCACAAATGCACAAAATTGGAAAAATGAAAGTATATCTATAGACATAATATAGAAAATATAATATAGAAAATATTAGAATGTGCCGAATTGGACATCTTAACAATGGAATCTGAGTATTACTCAATATGGGACTTATTGTACAAATGGTTAGAAACAGATGCAGAGATTGGTAACTTAATAACAAAAGAAAATCAACAAAATAGAAATAGGTAGATATATATATATAAGAATAAATATCGTAAGTAACAGTACTATCGGATTGTACAGGATTACAGATTAAAACATATAGAGTGAAAAAGGTATAGAGTGTTATGGTACAACTATGAAAATAATGTCATACAACATTATGCATTTAAAAGAGACTACATTGTATGACTACAAGAATAATGGTTATACTCAGGGTGTATAATACTATTTGTACTTAAAAAGGACTTGATACAGCCAGTACACTGGCATTGCAAAACTGGAAATGTGATGTATAATAAAGGAAAATGTATAATAAAAATATTTTTTAAAAAAAAGACTAGTTATTACATTTGATGGTATTCCCTAATTCTGTTCAAGAAAGTATTTAGTTTAATACATTCCACGTACCAGGCATTACTCCCAGCAGTTTTGTTTTTGCAGCAATTCGTGTTCGCATTCTGATTGCATTATCTCTGTGTGGAACAGTTTCAGCTAAAATGCCATTTGGCCAAAAGGCATCTCTAGAAGGAGACAAATCTATTTATTAAAATGATTTATTAAAATGATATCATTTTAGAATTACAATATCTGAAAATAGTGCTGTTACCAAATACATCTTGCCTATGGAAGATTTGCATGATATGAGGAGCACCCGGAGGCTCCAACTGGCGCAGAGTGCGGTCGCGCGGGTAGTTATGGGAGCGACATGGCACTCCCACGTAACACCTCTCCTGCGTGAGCTGCACTGGCTCCCGGTGGTCTTCCGGGTGCGCTTCAAGGTTCTGGTTACCACCTTTAGAGCGCTCCATGGCTTAGGACCTGGCTATTTACGGGACCGCCTACTACCACAATCAACCTCCCACCGGCTGGTACGCTCTCATAGAGAGGGGCTCCTCCAGGTGCCGTCGGCCAAACAGTGTCAACTGGCGGCCCCCAGGGGGAGGGCCTTCTCTGTGGGGGCACCTACTATCTGGAATGAGCTCCCCCTGGAGATACGTAGGATCCCGGACCTGCGCACTTTCCGCCACGCTCTAAAGACCTTTCTATTTCAGCAAGCCGGCCTGGCCTGACCTTTCCCCCTTTTAATTTTTAATTTTTTAAATTTAAACTGAAATTTTAAATTTGTTCTAATTTTTTGGGATGTTTTAAATTGTCTTGGGCTCAAATATTTAATTTGGTTTTAATTCTGCTCTTAACTTTTGTATCTATGTGTTTTATTTTGTGCCTGTTCACCGCCCTGAGTCCTTCGGGAATAGGGCGGTATACAAATTTGATCAAATAAATAAATAAATAAATAAATAAATAAAAAAATAAAAAAATAAAAAAACAGCACTTGAATGATTTTTTTTTCTTGATATATGTATGTGCATTATCAGACTAAGCTTTTGAGTGATTTACTGAATTTATAATGGCATTACAGATATGACTGTGCTTCAGCTCATAAAGTGGAGCCCAATGAAACAATATTAAGCTCAGGAATCACTAAAATCTAGCTAGGTGATTTATGCAAAGTTACACACACACTCTCCTCATTTAGTAATTATTGTATTTTTCGGAATACAAGACGCATTCCCCCCCCCAAAAGAGGGTGAAAATTTTGGTGCGTCTGATACACTGAATGTAGCCCCACCCTTTGGTCTCTGCCCAGTGGTGGGATTCACGTAATTTAACAACCGGTTCTCTGCCCTAATGATTTCTTCCAACAACCAGTTTGCAAACTGCTCAGAAAGTTAACAACCGATTCTCCCGAAGTGGTGCGAACTGGTTGAATCCCACCACTGCCTCTGCCTCCGAACAATTTGCTTCCTTGCAGCAAGCAGCAAACTGCAAACAGCTTATTTCAGCTTCAGCACAGCCTGATTAGCACAAGCAGTTGATTGTTGGTTGGATCTGCCTCCTGCCCCTCAGCTGTTTCAGGCTGCAGGACTTCCATTGCCTATTGCCGCGTGGGCCTCCGCTGTTTGCTGCAAGGAGGTAAATTGCTTTTTCTTGTGCTAATCAGATTGTGCTGAAAGTGAAATTGAAACTAAATAAGACTGTTTGCTGCAATGAGGCAAATTGCTAGGAGGCAGAGGCAGATTTTTTTTTCTTGTTTTCCTCCGCAAAAGGTGCGTCTTATAGTCTGGAGCATCTTATACTCCGAAAAATACAGTATGTTTCTTTCCAATTATTGGTTGTTAAATGAAACATAACTCTGCGAAAGAGACTACAAAGATCATTGGTTGTTGCCACTTCATTCAGATAAAATTCTGTCCTATGGTATCCTGTGTGTGACATTTCCCCCATTTTTTGCCTTCTCACAGGTAGATGAATTGCTTAAATAAGCTAACTCTTCCTGAGCTGCCCTCTTTAGCAGCATAGTGCTTCTCTAAAAAGCACTAACTGCAAATTAGCAAGTTCATCTTTATGATCTTAACTGATAGAATCCTCTGCTGCTATTGCCTGAAACTGATCAGACATAGATCAGTTTTCCACTGAAGGTTTTTGTAGTCAGGTACCAGAAATTTAGTGATAAATATAAAATTACTGTATTCGTGAATGTTGCATTTGTGAATTTGTTAACCAAGATAGTTACCAAATGAAGAGCGATTGTACAACTATTCCATTTAATCAGAAGCAAAAACTTTGAATTTTTACTGCAAAGTGTTCTTCTTTTATTTTTGTATCAATTTACAAATCAGTTGCTTTCTAGAAAGTAAATCTTTTTGTAAATGGCTAATAATATCTTAAGCCTTAGTAAGCTCTAGTAAACAAAAAGGTATCTTATAACCACTAAAATTAATTTTAAAGGAACCTGTCCCTGTTTTAAAGACCTACCTAAACCGTTTAACCGCATCTGCTACTTGTTCAGGAGACGTCATCCAATCAACATGATCAACTATTTTTCTGAAAGAATGAAATGTCTGAATTAATCTTTTGAAATAACTGTTTGTTTTTATATACCAGTATCTGTATCCAAATTAAAATACTTGAACCTGGATCTCATTAAAGTCACAAGAACACCTCTAAAGTCAACAACAAATTAATCCAACCTACTGCACGATAATTAAAAAAAATCTTTGTGACAAAGAATCAAAAATATAACAATAGTGAAAAGAAGGGAACAGAAGGGTATATGTTCCATTTATATATATAAATTCGATTTATATGCCGCCTTTCTCTGGAGACTCAGGGCGGCTTACAATGTGTTAAGCAATAGCCTTCATACTTTTGTATATTTATACAAAGTCAGCTTATTGCCCCCACAAACTGGGTCCTCAATTTACCTACCTTAGAAAGGATGGAAGGCTGAGTCAACCTTGAGCCTGGCGCGATTCGAACTTACAGTAATTGCAGACAGCTAGTGTTAATCACAATGCTATCAGTCTGCTGAGCCACTAGGCCATGTCTGCTGAGACACCAGGCCATGTCAGATACATACCCTCTCTAGTAACAAATTTATTGCTGATTCAATTGCTAGAGTATTTTTACATTTTTCAAATATGTTGACTGAAAACATATTTGCAGAGCATCCAGAATACAGAAAGCTCCTATAAAGTCTTGATGGTTTATTAATAATGTCATATAATTCCTGAAAATTAGAAACAGCTAACCCTGATATTTATGATGAAACTTAATTTAATGATAATTGCACTCCAGGTTTCCCATCTAAATGCAACCAGATAGATAGGAAGATAGGGCACAAATTGCTATTCTAGTTTTATTAAGTAGATAAAAAAGACTGTAACACAATAAGCAATGGAACCTCAGCTTCTATTTCTAAGAAGAAAACAAGGCATCTATTTATGTATTTGTTTACTCAGAAAGATGGAGCAGTAGATGTCTAGGGAGTGTTCAATTACTCATGCCCTAGTCATTTTTTTAAAAAGAACATCATAATATACTCTACAGGGAGCTGTTCTTGAAGAAGTTTTTACAAAAAATCAGCACTCAGATAGTGATTGATGAATTCTAAGGGTATCCTCGATGCTTTGGGAATTGCACTGTTTCCTGTTGGTTTCTGGGCACAATTAAAAGTCCTTTAAAACCCTATGGCTCTGGTCATCATTATGTGATAGATCACCTTCTTCTATATTCATCTGCATACCCAGAAGATAAAATATTATCAACTTTCTTCAGGTCCTATCCATACAAGTATATCATCTGATAGGTTCTTTAAAAAAGAAAATTTTTAGAAGCTTCTCTATTTGTTGGAATTTCCCCCATGCAGATATTTGGGTCAGCTTCATTTTTCTTTGGTGCGATGTATGTATGTGTCAGTGGTGAAATCTAAAATTTGTTACTACCAGTTCTGTGGGCATGGCTTGGGGGGGGGGGGGTAATGTGACTGGGTGGGCGTGGCCAATTTTTTTTTTTTTACTTTTAAAATCATTTTTACATGTAAAACCATGTAAAAAAAATGCTTTCAAAAGGCTCTGACGATCCCATCTGATCAGGCAACTCAGCTGGGATAATCAGAGCTTGGATCGTCAGAGCCAAGAAAAAACTTTTGATTGGCAGGCAACTCAGCTGGGATCGTCAGAGGCATTTAAAAGAAAAAAAGCCTCTGATCGTGCGGCTCAGCTGGGCATGGGGGGGCGGGGGCAGGGATTTTTGCTACCGGTTCTCTGAACTGCCTGCCGCCGTCGCTACCTACTCGCCAAAGCCGGTCCGAACCAGGAGCATTTCATCCCTGGTATGTATGTATTTATGTATGTATGTATGTATGTATGTATGTATGTATGTATGTATGTAATGAAGTAAAAAAATGGTATTTAAAGTAGCTGCATCTATGGTAGATAGGGACATCAAAAACAATAAGCATGTTGAAGCTCCACCTTTCTGCATTGTACTGGTGTTATATATATATATAAAGGAAAGCTTGATTATATTGCTATATTGTTTAAAGCTTCCCACTGCAAACACTGCTGATGTGAAGTATGGAGTCTGATGAAACATTTATGAAACAGTAGGATACTCAATTAGTCAGGCAAATCCTCCTTCCCTTATCTATTCTCTGCAGGCCCAGCAATATCAGAAAAGCAGTTATATATTCATATCATATTCATTCCCTAATTCACAATACAAGTAGTCCTCAACTTACAATCACAACTGAGCCCAGAATTAATGTTGCTAAGTGAGAAATTTGTTAAGCGAGTTTTGTTCCATTTTACAACTTTTCTTGCCATATATGTCAAATGAATAGCAATAGCACTTAGACTTATATACCACTTCACAGTGCTTTACAGCCCTCTCTAAGCGGTTTACAGTCAGCATATTGGCCCCAACAATCTGGATCCTCATTTTATCGACCTTGAGCTGGTGAGACCAAACTGCTGGCAGCCGGTGATCAGTAGAAGTAGCCTGCAGTACTGCATTCTAACCACTGTGCCACTGCAGTCTTCACTACAGTTGTTAAATTAGTAACCTAATTGTTAAGTGAACTTGGCTTTCCCATTAACTTTGCTTGTTCGCAAAAGGGGATCCCATGACCCTATGACACTGTAACTGTCATAAACATGATTCAGTGGCCATGCATCCAAATGTAAATCACGTGACCATTGAGATGCTACAAATGGTCATAAATATGAAAAATGGTCATGTCACTTTTTTCCGTGCCGTTGTAACTTCGAATGGTCACTAAATGAACTGTTGTAAGTTGAGGACTACCTGAACAACCATATTCATATTGATGTTTAAAAGTGGGAGCATAGATTTGTATCTTTTCCACTAATGCACAGGTTTTTAAGAATGAGGAAATGAAAGAAAGTACTTATTTATTGTATATCCATGCATTGCTCTAATAAGCTGCTGAAGCAAATTTTTAATATTCCGTCGTAGCCACTGATTTCTCTCCTTCAGATCGAATATTTCATCCATGAGTAGCAGCATTATTTTAAGAGGTACATTGTCTTCTACCTAATAAAATATAATGGAGTACTCACTGTTTAAAGACAAAACGATTACTTAGCTTAAACAACATTAAATTGCTAGTTTGCTAAAATGTTTATTAATACTAGAATTCTTGTGTTCAAGCAACTGTACTGGATTAGATCCAGTAATATTTATTCTTGCAAATAAAAATAATCCCTAATTGATCTAGCAGATAATGATACAAAAATGAGATAATTTTTCACTTGTTTTCTTTCCGAAGATTCCTATGACACTGAAGGGCCATTACAGTGTAGAATACTGTAATGGCAAAGGAAAAATAAATGATAGCTCTTACTTTCCTTTTTAACTTTCATGTATTTCTTTCATGTATTGCTTTCCTTCTACTTATGCATGTAGACGACTACTGGACAAGGCCTTAAGACCTGGTTAATTAGAAGTACGAACAATTTTATTAGTATGTAGACTTCGGAGGCCCTTTCTTAGAATGAGCTTCAGCACAGACCCACCTAGGAAAGGTGCTATCCACCAATTGATCTAATATAGGAAATTTAGAAAAGGATGGAGCAATGTAAGATTGCTGTTTTCACACTCCTCTATTGAATGTTGTAACATTTCATTTTGTTGCCATGGCCATGAATGTTTATTGCTTTTCAATAGAAGTTGTTATTCTTTCGCTTTCACAAACCATTTTGGCTTACTGAATCCATAAATTTTCTACCCACACACTGGTGGAACAAATGATATGCTTCACACTATTTGAGAGGATCATTAGTTTTATAAAGGAGATTTTGTGAAATGGAGTGGAAGCATAAAGATTCAAAACATTTATAGGTAGAAAACTTTACTGCAGTCTTTTACCAGTGTGATTCAAAATGTTTGTAAGGATTCAAAATAAATCAAAATATAACTACTAATATTTAACAGTAAAAATTTAAAAAGGATTCCCATCTTACATTTTTGTGAGACAAATATAAAAATTTTCTAATAATTCATTTCATAGTATTACTTTTAAAAGCTATTATGTGAACAATTTTACATTTAGTAACAGTTTACCTATATTTCTACCAATATGTTCTCTGAAAAACTAATGAAATACAATACAATTTAAAATATGTCTTGAAAATAAATGAGGGAGCTAAAGAACTTCTCTGAGTATCCCATGGCTTTGCAATTATCTACTGGAATTTATTACTTTGCTCGTCACCTTTAAAGAGCACAGCACTGTGGCATATTGCAAATTGAATCTGCAATATCAAAATACTTTAGAAATGTTAATTTATGATAAATCTTTGTTAGCATTCTGATGCCCCTTTATATATTTTTTTACAAATGTAAAAAGAATTTTTCTGAACTATTAAAATGCACAATGGATTGTGAAATGCTGTAATGCAAATCCAATACAATAAGCACCAATAAATGTGCCCAATATGGTAAACCATTATTCCATTACCATACAAACCATTATAATATGGTATACCATATTATACCAATATACCATGAATTAGGGAATGAATATACCAATAATGAGGTCAGAACATAGAAAATTACAGAGTTCAAAATTAATTTAAACAAGGTACAGTGGGGCAAAAAAGTATTTAGTCAGCCACCAATTGTGCAAGTTCTCCCACTTAAAAAGATGAGAGAGGCCTGTAACTGACATCATAGGTAGACCTCAACTATGAGAGACTATGAGAAAACAAATCCAGACAATCACATTGTCTGATTTGGAAAGAATTTATTTGCAAATTATGGTGGAAAATAAGTATTTAGTCAATATCAAAAGTTCATCTCAATACTTTGTTATATATCCTTTGTTGGCAATGACAGAGGTCAAAATGTTTTCTGTAAGTCTTCACAAGGTTGGCACACACTGTTGCTAGTATGTTGGCCCATTCCTTCATGCAAATCTCCTCTAGAGCAGTGATATTCTGGGGCTGGGCAACACGGACTTTCAACTTCCTCCAAAGGTTTTCTATGGGGTTGAGATCTGGAGATTGGCTAGGCCACTCCAGGACCTTGAAATACTTCTTACGAAGCCACTCCTTCGTTGCCCGGGCGGTGTGTTAGGAATCATTGTCATGCTGAAAGACCCAGCCACATTTCATCTTCAGTGCCCTTGCTGATGGAAGGAGGTTTGCACTCAAAATCTCACGATACATGGCCCCACTCATTCTTTCCTGTACACGGATCAGTCGTCCTGGTCCCTTTGCAGAGAAACAGCCCCAAAGCATGATGTTGCCACCCCCATGCTTCACAGTAGGTATGGTGTTCTTTGGATGCAACTCAGCATTCTCTCTCCTCCAAACACGACGAGTTGTGTTTCTACCAAACAGTTCTACTTTGGTTTCATCTGACCATATGACATTCTCCCAATCCTCTTCTGGATGGATCATCCAAATACTCTCTAGCAAACTTCAGACGGGCCCGGACATGTACTGGCTTAAGCAGGGGGACACATCTGGCACTGCAGGATCTGAGTCCCTAGCGGCATAGTGTGTTACTGATGATAGCCTTTGTTACGTTGGTCCCAGCTCTCTGCAGGTCATTCACTAGGTCCCCCTGTGTGGTTCTGGGATTTTTGCTCACCGTTCTTGTGATCATTTTGACCCCACAGGGTGAGATCTTGCGTGGAGCCTCAGATTGAGGAAGATTATCAGTGGTCTTGTATGTCTTCCATTTTCTAATTATTGCTCCCACAGTTGATTTCTTCACACCAAGCTGCTTGCCTATTGCAGATTCAGTCTTCCCAGCCTGGTGCAGGTCTACAATTTTGTTTCTGGTGTCTTTCGACAGCTCTTTGGTCTTCACCATAGTGGAGTTTGGAGTGTGACTGTTTGAGGTTGTGGACAGGTGTCTTTTATACTGATAACAAGTTCAAACAGGTGCCATTAATACAGGTAATGAGTGGAGGACAGAGGAGCCTCTTAAAGAAGAAGTTACAGGTCTGTGAGAGCCAGAAATCTTGCTTGTTTGTAGGTGACCAAATACTTATTTTTCACCATAATTTGCAAATAAATTCTTCCCAAATCAGACAATGTGATTGTCTGGATTTGTTTTCTCATTTTGTCTCTTAGTTGAGGTCTACCTATGATGACAATTACAGGCCTCTCTCATCTTTTTAAGTGGGAGAACTTGCACAATTGGTGGCTGACAAAATACTTTTTTGCCCCACTGTATATAGATAAATCTATAATATTAAAAACAACAACATACAAACTCATAAACATATAAAGCTTCTTGGAAGAAGTAAGGATATTTGGCAATGTCACAGTCACAGTAAGTAAACAGAAATACCAACTGGAGTGCTTTGATGTGGCAAGTAAAAATGTGAAGTATAGAACAGGTGCAGATATCTGAACCATGACAAATGTATCCATAATCATTGATTATCTTGTGGATTTATATTCTCAATAAGATAAAATGTCTTTTAAATTTATTTCATATATTTTGAATTTGGTAAAGTAGAGGATCACAGATTTAGAATATTTATTGGCTAAAGTATCATAGTAAGTGATAAAAAAATCATCAACTGCTGATAGATTATGAACACCCTGAAAATGCTTCTTTTGTAGTCATGCAAGTCAAAATCAAAAGAAATGCTCAATCAGTTCTGCATGCCTACCACAGACCAACTCTTCTTTGAATCTTGCATGTTTTTGTGGATTTTACACATGATCCAAGAATCTGTTTTAGAAAACACAACCAAGCCACAAGAAGAAGAATATTTCAAAGTTGTAGAAAGAATCATAGGCTACAAATTTAATCATTCCCCCATTGATTAAAAGGGGCTGTCATAAATTTCTATCTGTATGTCAAATAATTAGCTGACAAATGCAGATAATCCACATTATCTATATACATTAACTATAACTACAACTATTCCTTAACCTTCAAGGAAATGGAGAACCAAACTGGAAGTATCCTTAACTTCAAAATAAAGTTGGTATATTTATTTATTTGTACTTATTCAATTCCTATACGTGCCCAATTCAACCAGGGGACTCTGTATTAAGTATTACCTGAATAAATTCTTCACAATATCATTTTTGACTTTACAAATATACAATAATTATTTGAAATTGAATGTTCATTTTTTACCAAAATTCTGAAATACAAAACATTTATTCTGCTGATATTTGTTTTTATATCTTATTATGTTTTGATCTAGGACACAATGCTCATGCATTCAGGGCTTGTCTTTGTGAAGAAACTGCCTTGCTAAGATGAACAGCTTTGACAACTGAAAGAAATTTTCTAAGAGTCCAATATAAGACATAAGGATTTGAAGTAAAAAAAAATTGTTCATGAACAATAAGAATTTATAAAATAATTAGATTATAATGAAAGGTTGGATACATTTCAATAAATAAAAAGACTATGCAATTTGTTATTTTGTAATTAAGACTGATATCTGTTGAAACTAATCAAACAATTAACTCACATTATCATCTAGGTGTGCTGAAACCCGACAGTGTTTAGGATCAACATATGTCTTCTGCATTAAAGGAGGCTCCTAAATATTCCAGACAGGGAAAAGAAGTTATAAAAAACAGAATCATTTAAAAATACAGGGTAACAAAATGTAATTCAAAATTGTATTTTATAACAGACTTATATATATGTCTTACTTATAACTCTTACTTATATGTGAAATATTTAAATCAAAGTTAAAAGAAACCACAATTTGAAATATGCTATGATTCTCTGTAGTCAGATGATAACCATCCACATTTTTATACTTATTAATGTATAGTAGCATATAGAACATACAAATAAAATTGAATTTATCAAATACAATCATATAGCATATATGACATTACATAATGTTTTTATAATTTAAATCAAGGTATAATGTAATATTGACATCAATTACATAGTATGTTTTCATTTTAGTGCAGTTTTTCCCACAATAATTTTTGACTTATGAAAATGTAATTTGTAGTTGATGAGATCTGTATTTATGAACTTACAAATATTATCTTTACTTAATATAACAAGAGAAAAATGAAAACATATTCAATTGCAATTAGCATCTCTCTTTCTTTTTATTTAGTCATTTAAATTTATTTATTCAAATATTTAAATAATCTTTAAAAAGAAGGATGCATTCATATGTGCAGAGCAGAGGTAGGTTAGCAATGACAAGGCCAAATGGAATAAGTGTATTTTATTTAGGGATAGGTAAACGATTGATGAAAGCAAGGCTATTGAAAAAAATCAAAGAAAACAAATTGCTTCAGATATGTCCCATTCAGCAATTTTAGTATAGATCTGAATTGTGTATATCTAAGCTGTCGAAAATCAGGCCTAACCCATTTATTTTTACAGTGAACTATACAACTTAGGCACTGAATGCAGAGCATACCATTCTCTAAGAAGAATGAAGTACCGCAAAGACAGGTTAAATGAAAATATGTTACAGCAGGAAAGGAGGTTTGAAATAAACCCGGGATAATTTAATAGAATTTGAAATGCTGATAATGTGTACCATTCTTATACTGTGAAAAAGAAATGTGAAGAAATTGTAAAGCGTGAGAAGTAGAAGTTTCCATAATATCCAAATCTAAAATTTCATTTTGGATTAAAATCAAGCCGTTTTTTTATACAGCAGTTCTATTTAAAACATCAACAACAAAAACAAAAAACAATTTATAACATGATTTGTCTACATAATCAAAGTCTCACTAAAATTCATTTGGGGTATCAAATATACCTAAGCAAACTTCTAAACTGAGCAATTATAAAATGTCAAAGAAACTTACAAATCATATTATGGTAATTGTATATGTCTTCATATATGCAGACACATACACAAAATACCTACATATTGTATTTGTATCTATATGTAGCACAAAAATTTTGTTCTCATTTATATAAATGTTTATAAAACATTAAAAAGTTTCAACTTAACTTAGAAATTGTTATAGGTTTAAGAAAAATGTAATTAGCAATGCTTATAATCTAAGTGTGAGAATTATTTATTTATTTATTACATTTACACCCAATTTATATCGAAATGAGATTTTTACACAGAAAACCTGTTCCTCTTATGTAGTTCACTAATTGCTTTGAAGATAAGCATATTGCTCCAGACCAACATATATTATTTAATTAATATATATGCTGTTTGTTCCCAAAAGTACTGGACAGCCAACAATGATCACCAAACCAAAAACATATTTATCCTCAATAATAACAAACTTACAAATGAAATAAACCATATAAGGAATCAAAACTATGTTCTAAAAAGATATGTGATCTGTCAAATTCAATATTCAATCACAGCATGTCCCATGCAGGAAATTAATCAGGTTTAACCGGGTTTAGTTTAACTGCTCTCGTGAGCACAGAGTGGAAATTCTGTAGAAATTCTCAGTCGTACAGGTCATGGTTGTTCCAAAGGTGCTTTTTCAGGAGGCAAAAAAAACAAAAGTCCAGTTGCCTCCTTAAAAAGCACCTTTGGGACAACCATGACCTGGATGACACAGAATCTCTATAGACTTTTAGCTAAACAATTTGGGATGAACACCCTTTGAATGGTGTGGGAGTAGGAATGGATTCCCAAAGGAAAAATTGCAGACTCAGGAACCAGGAGCACTACTCAGGTGACCTTGAGACACAGATAACCTCCAAGTGCTTCAACGACCTTCTAAAAGGATGCAAATTACCAGCTATTTGCAAGGAATATAAATCCTTCCATTCCCCACTATCCTGTCAGAGCTGAAGAAAATTTCTTGGATGAGAAGCAAAACATCTTCAAAAGAAAAGAAAAAACCCCCAGAAAGTCCAGTTGCCTCCTGAAAAAGCACCTTTGGGACAGAGTGGAAATGCAGAATAGCTTCCATGAAGAAAAAATCCAGATATAGGAATAGCATGGAAAAATGCCCACTTCCAAGTTTTTGTTAAACGGCTTTTTTATATGTAGACACGATATGAAGAATCTGACTAGATGGGCAGATAAATATAGGATGTAGCATTCCTCAGATCACTATGTCTATATCTATGTAGGGCTTTAACAACTAGACAACTAGAACCTGATTTGTATCCAGAACCTGACTTGCAACCATGAACCTTCTGAAGCACTGGGGTTCTCTATTATTGCCTGTGTAGTCACATTTTATGCCAATGTAGTTGCAGAAAGCTTTTCAAGGGTAACCTGTTTTAGAGTAATCCAAATGTAAGGTGAATAGGGTGTAGAATACTTACCTTATATTTGGATTACTCTAATATAGTGTACATGGGGTTATTCTTGAAAAGCTTTCAGCAACTACATTTTCATAAAATGTGACTACTCAGGAAGTAATACATAACTCCAATAAGCAAGGGCTCCCAATTCAGAAATTGTTGTAATTGCTATACAAGATGTAATTGGATCTGTGAGAAGAGAGAGGATGTTGTAATGTAATGTGGTCAAGTTCCATAATCATTTCCTTATACCATTGGACAGTTTTGACCAAACTGGCTACCTCATCCTGAGGAAACTCTCAAAGCTCTTTACTCATAATGAACTGGAGAAGGACCACATAATAGGTTCTTTTTCATAAGGGCATTTCAAATAACAATCACAGAGTGATCTGTCCATGACAATGGGCTATGCTTGATTCCCTCCACTTCCATGTTGTATCTCTTCATTTAGCCTGGATCAGACTCTCAGTAAATTGGTTGGGTCCATGGTTGTATTGACAGTCTAGGCTCTTCAGCTCTTCCAAAAGCCTTGCCCAGAAAGGGCAGTTTGAAATTCTCTCTGTCACTAGTTTGGGGTATTCCATTGCTACCCCAGTAACTAGGCTAAGCACCTATGGCACGGATGTCACAATGCAGCAAGGGGAATAGAATGCAAGCAATAAATCTTGCATCCTTCAGGCGTAACTGCATTAATAAGGTTTCATACCCATCATCTAAGAAGAGATGACTACTGTTGCCAACTGTCTCACAAATGAAAATATGTATTTCACAATTAAATAACAGATGGGGATGGTTTCCTTACAGGCAGATCAGGTATTCAAGGGCTTCAGCTAAAACCCCAAGGCTCTGAGAATCTGGTATCCTTTACTTGGGATGAAGAATGAGAGATGAATGGCAGAACTGGCCAGAAATATACCTTATTATTATACACACACTACTAAAAATAATTATTCTCTTTCTTTTTTATTCCTGCTTTCTTCTCTATTTTTTTCTTAACTTGTGAACTCAAGAGTGATTACGTAGCTAATATAAGGCATAATTTTATTAATACAAATTCATTTTTTCCAGATAATTTTCTGCTATTCAAAGTTTTTTTAACTTCAATATTTTTTAAAAAACTAATGAGCTTCTGAATAAAAGGCAGAACATAAAATAAATAACTTTGTAATTATTTTAAAGAAAAAAGATTGGTTATTAGGGGTAGAAAACACTAATTTGGGATTTACTTTTATTATTTATTATTAAGAAATGATAATACAAGTAAATTCTAAATTAGTGTTCTCTATTATTAATAAGCTACCATTTTTCAAATAAATGTTTAATGTATGAACTCAGGTATCGTACAGAACATCAGACAACTAAAAAATTAATGTAAATATGGTAGACCATTATGTGCCTACAGCAGATTTCCTCTGAATTTCTTAATAGATTTCCCAGTTGCATCTTCTATTTTAGAATAAATTCAAAAACAGCTCTGATCTTCAGACCTCCTTCTTTTCAGCATACTTTAATATATTTTCAGCCCTCAAATAAAATATTTTACTAGTGTTTTACCAATAATTAACATATTCAACTTTTTGCCTGCTCTGTTCTTATTTGTTTAATCAAAGTAACCCAAAACAGTACAAACTGTGTTGTCTTATTTAGTACATTCTTACCTTGAAAAATGATTGCTTTATATCTTGTCCCAATCTTTCTGATATTTTGCCCATGTTGTCTGACATTTTTGTCATCCCCTCTGTGAAGCTGTCAGGGATGGACTTGACAGCATTTGAAACATTTCTCATAGAGTTACGCAGTGGATTTACAAATGTGTCCACCTGAAGAGGAAAACATTTACCACGCTTGCAGAAATCTATGAGGACATGATTACAGTCATCCAATAATGCATGTTGGAAAACATCACACTATTTTGGAGACTAGTAACACAAAATCATTAGTAAAAATAATACATGGTATAAATATAAAGCATTCATATTCAATTATTTTGAATATAAGACATCCTAATCACATACTCATAGTGAGCATTACTACATCAGATAGATATTTTTTTTGTCCTTTATCCAATCCTGTATTCAATTCCCAAATCTACATTCTGACAGAAAATTTCTTAGGGCAAAATGTGGGTTTTGCTATGCTACTAAGCAAAATTCTTCAACTGATGCCAAATAGTTGGAAACCAATGAGTGAACCATAAAAGCTTATTAGCCTATTAGACAACAACTATTGGGATAAGGAAAAATTTAATTCAGGCAAATGCTGTACTATATGCATATTTTACTTTGAGATCCTGTAAGAGGATATCCATGTAGTAGTAAGTAATGACAGATCTATATAGAAAACGCTAGTAAGGAGGAAAGCAAATTATAATTTCAGAATTAACTCCTCAATGTTTGCCATTGCCTGTTTTATCTCTCATACAGGATGTCCATAATATGATAATCAAAAATAATAATAATTGGACACCACTTAGAAAATTTGTGCATTAACAAAATTTCCATCTAGCAATTACAAAAGGAGTATTTGAATTGGATGCTTAGATTCGCATGTATTTTAGACTGATACATTTCTACATCCTAGGTTCTGGGGAAGAACTTGATGCATATGAAGGTCCATGTCAGCTAAAGAAGTGACAGCTGTGATTTCACATTGTTGTACATATAACAATATCATCTGCCTATTCTAGATTCTTGGGAAGGATTCAATATGAGGATAAAAATGTGAAATCCAATCTTAACATCGGGCTGATATGCAATGAATAATTAAACTTTTATGTTGCCCAATTCTCAACAACTTCAGGCAACTCTTAACAATCAAATAAAGAAATTACAATAAAATCAATAAAAGATAAAAGATGAAGTTAAGAGATAGCAAATGTGATAAAGCAAGGGATCTCTCTCTCTCTCTCTCCCATTCTGTTTTCATGGATTTTCTAAACAACAGCAAATTGGAGGCCATCCAGATATTGGGAGAAGCCTTGGAGTCTCCTTCCAGAGGGAAGGGACTGCTACAGAGGAGGTATGCTTCCAAGGTCTCGATAAATGACATTGTTTAATTAAAGGAATCATAGTGCACCAACCCTGCAAAATAGAATTGGTTGGATGTTATTGGAGACAGGTGGTCCTTCAAGTAAGCAGATTCTATGCTATGTGTTATGATATCAGCTGAATTTTTCAGAATACTATTAAATCAGAATGCTAATGTTTGAATTATCTGATGTTTATAATAAAGCATATTATTCATTTATCTGCATGTATTCTGTTCAGTTCTGTATTTCATTTTTAAATATCTAGAACCCACTGATTCCCTTCATCTGTTCATTTATGAAATTACTCTGCCACTTCAATATGGAAAAGAGTGACCACATTTCCAAATGTAAAATATATTAGTTACAGTAGTCTAGACAACAGGAATAAGAGTTTATAACCATACAGCTTGGGAACAAGACATAGTATAGTAGTTAAGATAAATGGAAGCATGTTGTACACAGGTAGTCCTGACTTCCAACAATTTGTTTAACAACAGTTCAGAATTATAATGGTCTCGGAGAAGGTGACCTGTAAAGTGCTTCTGGCCATTGCAAAACATTTTTTTCATATAGATACAGATGAAAGGGAGCTGAAATCCAATTAGAGAACAGTCAGTGCAGTAAAGGAAGGAGCGCAGTGTGCTAGGTGTGTGGGGAGGCCCTGGAAGGCCCTAGGTGGGCCACATCCAAGACACTGTTTCTCTTCATTCGGGGACTGCTTGCATTTTGACAGCAAACATTTTCAGCTCCTGAATAGAGCCTCCTAAGTTTTCCCCCATCCCTTGCAACTCCCTGTTCTCCTTACCTGCGACTCCATCAGTTTAATGAATTGCATAATTGCTTAACGACTACAATTGGGAATGCTGAGATTATGGTTAAGCAAAGAAATCACATGAGCAGTCACATGATATCTCACTTAATAACTGCTTCACTCAATGACAAAATTCCAGTCCCAATTGTGGTGACAAGTTGAGGACTACCTGTATGCAAGTACTTGCAAGAAGGATATATCAAGCTTGAAAAATACAGTATGAAATACAGCATAAAATACACATTAAAGATAGCCATTTACACTTTGGAAGAAGATTTAGATCTAGTTTTCAAAAATTTTGTGGAGTATATTACTTTATTTTTGATGAGATGATTCATTATATGCTTCTTTTCCTGGGACAATTAAGCCAAATAAATACATGTAATTTAGTTCAGTTATTGCAGTGAGGTCTAAGTAGGCTGCCAGTGACTGTCCAAAAACTACAATTGATTCAAATACATTAAGTGACTGTAAAATTAAAGGGAATACAGCCTCATAATTTAGGAAAATACAATGTTTATCTTTTAATCTCCAAAATTATTTTATGTGTCAACTTGCATTTATCAAACTTCAAGAAGCCAAGTAGAACATTTGAAACACTTTTCCCATATGTGCTTCTCATATGGAATCTTTGCTGTGAATGTTGCTACCTTTTTGAGTTAATTTAGCTAAAGACAAGAAATAGAGATATTACAATTAGGGCACATAACTTTAGAAAAGCCCTTTTATTGTTCTTATTTGTGCAAAAATGTTGATGCTTAAAAAGTTGCTGATTTATTAAATTTTAGTGTGATTTGATGCCTTATACAGCTAACTACTTTAAACATCCTTTAACGGATATAATAAAACTAACTGAAACATCATATATATGAAATTTGTGAAATATCTGCAATGATTTTTTTAAAAATATTGCTTTTGTTACAATTTCAAACAGAAGCTTACCATTTTGGAAGACATAGGAAAATTTTGCAAGGCATAGTCCTCATCTTAATCTTAAAGAAATTATTGTTCTTTTCTTATCCAACAAATAAAATCAGTGTAGATAACACAACACCAATTTTATTGCTTAATTCCATAAAGGTTTTAAGAAGAACCAAACAACTCAGCTTATTGGAAGCTACTGTTATTGAAATATTTTTTAGAACTGCTATTAATTAACTCTTCAATTAAATTTAAAATATTTATTAAAAAGAATGGCCATAGCAAAAAACAAACAAACAAACAAAAAAAAGATACCTGCGGAAAAAGTCTGCAAAGGAATTTACTTTTACCCTAACTGCTGAATGATCAGTTTTGACAAGGGCTGTATGAGAAGAAAAAACTGTGCTTTGATTCTTTGATGTTGCACAGCCTCAGAAAGCAATTTCAGCGGGAGACATGCATTCTCTCTTTAGAGCAGGCAAATGGAAACTATAAAGCAAGTGATGCCTGAAATGATCAGAAGATTTAAATGTAGATCAAAGGACAGAAATCTTAACATGTTTAAAAACGCTACATTTTAGAATAAATTTTAGAATAAACTGCACCTTCTACATGTTCAAAGAAATATTCAAAAGAAAATGTTCTCACTACAAAGGTTCTATATTGAAATTGGTTCTCTGAGAATAAATCAATAGTTCTATTCCAAAATCTTATTTGTAGTCTGTATTTATACAAACTAACAAATTCATACATTAACTGCATTATATTGGTTAAAGGGCTATGTCATAGAGTTTTGATGAAATGAAAACAGACTAAATGATTTATTCTTCACAAAGTTCCTATTGCTAAATTATATTACATACATCTTACCTTCCGAGCAAAATCTCCTTTCTCTTTATTGTATGCCTTATTTTCCAAGAAATCATATACATAGTGTGCTAAAGTCGGATAAGCTTTCATCACTTCGGGTGTTAACAAAAGCTAATAAGTAAAACATGCAAATTACATTTAGAAAGATGAATATTTTGGTTTGAAATTAAAACAATGCAAATATACATATATTTAAATGAATTTAAAGTACCAATACTGTATTGCCCAAAATCCTACCCAAGTGGAGTGTATTACTGAATTATTATTGAACAATTTTAGCCATCCCACCAGCTCCCCATGGTCAAAGCTGCACATTCCACATTAATTTTAGGACAATTAGCTCGGAATGAGAAGTATGGTTTGATTCCATATGGAAGTGAACTCATTTAATGTACCAGTCTCCCAACAGCCAAACAGGTGGTCTTTACCAATGATGTTGTGCTAACAGGAACTCCACTGCTAAGTAACATGACTGAAGATACAACATCATGACAGTTCTGGCAGTCTGACTTGCTGCTATTAGGCAAATCCCAGGTAGCTGCAGGATTTCATGATCAAGTGATCACCACTTGTGATCTCCAGCCATCTTCCCTATTGACTTTGTTGGAAGCTGGCAGTGAAAGTCTCAAATGGCAGTCAAATGACCAAGGGATACTGCAATATTATAATTGTGATCTGGTTGCAGGGCAACCAAATTGTGATCATATGATTGTTGGGGACATTGCAATGGCCACAACCAATGCCCACAACCATAAGAGTGTATGCAAATACCCTGAAGTACTATCATAACTTCAGCCACATTTAATGAGTGGACATTAAATGAGACCTGAGGTATTTTTAAAATATTTACATAATTATATTTATGTAATACCAAAGCATGCTATCCTAAATTACCTATAACTTTTACTGCATTTTCCTAGAAATGGGGGAAATTAAAAAAAATATACTCATCTTTAATTAAGAATCTGAATATGAGAACATACCTGTAAGTATGAATTTAAATCTTTCTTCCTTTTTTCTAAAAAATCTCTATCCATATTATTGAATGTTTTTTTACCAGGAAGCTTCAATAAATTTCCTAGGTTTTCAAACTAAAAAAGATAGATGTGGCAGTTCATTCTAAACACGCACACATATTGTAGCATTTCAGCAAAAGAAAGTACTACTGATTAATTTCATAAAGACATCACCACACAGAGTTGCTGAGAGCTAGGTGGCATTTACATTTAATAAATAAGCACATGTCATAACCAACAAAGATTCCACACTGCTACTTTCTTAACCATGATTAAAGTACTTGTCTACTCAGCTGGTATGTCTTCTCCCAATCTCTTAGGCTGCTTTCCTTGTTTACTAGAATTAACTATGATAAAACATTATGTTTACATCGGTGACTACACTTAGAATTTACAATCACCAGTCTCTGGACTCAAACTCTCTAGATTGAAGGTATAGATTTGAGTAACAACACATCAGTATAAATTTTCTCAGTATCTAAATTAGCTATCAAGAAGAAGAGACGTTGCCCAGTTTACGTTCTCTTTTTTTCATATATGCTAACAAGTTTTTCTACACGTAGGAACATTTAGTTGTGTCAACTTTCAATATTGAGTCAATATTGGACTTCCGGTGGCTCCGCCGGTGCCGAAAGACACTCCTTTGCGAGCGCCAGCCCCGGGATTCCGTTAGAGCCGCTAGAACAGAGAAATCAGCTGTCTAGTGGCTTGAAAACTTTCCCCCTGGGAGAAGGGGGGAAAGAGAGCCGACGGGTGTGGGTAGAGCTCCCCAAGAGCCCCAGGTTTGTTTTTAAATCTGGGGCTTAAAGGGTGAGAGCTCCCCGGAAAGCCCATCATTGCTCCGGACCTGGGATATTTCTGCTTCAAGCAGAACTAGACCGCTGTGACCACCCCAGCAACTCAATTTTAAAAAAGATTTTGGACTTGAAAGCTGGCAGAGCAAATACAGGAGAAACTAAAATTGCAAGTATTAAACTTTAATTCTGAAAAGTCTATCACTTCCCTCTGAATTTCTATGGGAGAAAAGGAAAGTAAGATGGCATTTGATTCTAACGGGGCGTGAAGAAGTGAAAGTGAGATACAAAGTATTATGTTGTGTTGAAAGCCCCTGTTTAAAAGAAGAGGATTTTATCTTAAAAGGAGAAGGATCTAAAAATTATTTCTAAAAAATGACTTGTACCACTTAAGGATTGGAATAATTGATTTAGTTGCTGGAAAAGTATAAAGTGAAAGTTTTATCGGGAAGAAAAAAAATGGCTAGCTTTTTTGAAAGTGATGAAGGCTTACCATTATATACATCAGTAAATACACAAATACTGATTGCGGATCTTTTTAAAGAAACTTTAGAATCATTTGCCTCCGCGTTAGTAAAAAGAATGGAAGGGTTTTTCAAGAAGGATTTTACTCAAATTCGCAACAAAGATACAAGTGAAGATACTGTATCGGTATTTCAGATGCCAAATAATAGTGAGCTGCTGAATGAAGAGGTGGGAGAAACAATCCAGTTTAATGTGCCTTTGGAAAATGGAATGGATGTTTTTCAAATTAAGAAGAAAAGGCTGAGAGGTTTGAAGGAGTGTAACCAGGAAATACTGAGAGAGATTTCTCCAGAGGCTTTGATACAGTCAACTGTAAAATTGTCAGGAGGTGTTGGAATTTCTAATATAAGGAGGAGGATTCAAAGTGGAACTTTACAACTTTTTTACAAAAATGGACTCTCAATCGCAGTTAAAGAGGTGTGTTTACTGAAAGGAACTATTTTGCGAAGAGAACAAGATTGTAAGGTACAGCAACTTCAGTTGAAAATTCAAGAATTTATAAAAATAAAAGAAGGCGGAGGAATAAGACTGAAGAAGAAGGTTCGCAAAAAAGTCAGATGGAAAAATGGAAAAATGGAAAGATGGAAAAATTATAACCCTCCTTGTTGGGGAGGATAGTAATAGTGAAAATGAATGACTATACCTGTATTTAGGGATATGATTTGTTTTAAAAAGTTATATTATAGTGAAAATGAATGATTTACTTATATTTAGGGACATGATTTGTTCTGAAAAGTTATATTAAGTAATGTTATGCTTGAATTGTTATGGGCCACTGACCAAACTTTCACTTTTGTCTTGAAGTATATTTCAAGGAATGCTTTGTTGAAGAATTTATATAAGCTGATGGGTTAAAAGAAAAATATTGTAGATGTAAAAGTTATGGACAGTGTAGATCATTTAATATAAGTTTATGGATTAGAAGAAGGATATTACTTAAATCTTTATACTTTGTTTTAAATTACATTAATGCTATATTAAAGAATGTTTTGTTGAAGAATAAAAATAAACTTGTGGGTTATAAGGAAAATATAAGTGGTGCAAGGGTTGAGGGAAGGTTTATACAATATTTTTTATAGATATTAAATGGTGAAGATGGTATTTGATTATATGTAGTGGATTTGTAGAGAATAAGATGAACAAGTTTATGCAAAGCTATTAAGTAAGGAATGTTTCCAGGAAGAATCAATATAAATTTATGGGGTAAAAAGTAAAAATAAGGTTTTTACAATATATTTTATTTGTGATTGGTTAAAATATTTTGTTAATGTGTTAATATATGTAAGGGTTCGAGATGTGATGGTTAATTGTAACTGGGCTCTGATTGTGTAATACTGGAAGAAAGAAGACTTGCTTATTATTGAAGAACGGACAAGAACGAAGTTGGATTGATTACTTTCAAGCAATAATTGGTTTAGTTATATTTAGATATGAACAAGGGGAGTTAAAGTGCATGAGGGAGAAAAATCTATAGATAGTTAGCGTATGTTTTTTTTTTATGTTTGTTAAATGCTATACCCTGTATTTGCTCTGGGAAGTCCGGGGGGGGGGGGGGGTGGGGAAGGGGGGGGGAGAAGGGAGGGGAAAATATGTGTAAATTTTTAAAAAACTTTTCAATAAAAAAAATACATATTGAGTCAATATTAATGTAATGCAATTAAGAAACATTAAGCAATTATTTGTAAAAAATATATCTGCAAGAAGTCAATGTACACAGGTTATAAAAGATAAAAAAAATTAATAACATAATTGAAGTTTGGAACCAGAAAGTCTGGTATGCAAATTTCATCAGGTTCCAATTAGCTTACACCCGTTTCAATGTGTAATCAGGATACTGTGGAATGGTTTTAAGAATAAAATAAGCCAAAATCAGTTGATTTCAAACAAGCAAAATGAAATTTATCCATTGCTAATTTCAATTAATCAATGTTTTTCTCAAAAAGTAAACAAACCAAAATAATTTCAAATTACCTGTTCAGTAATTCTCATATGGAAGTCATGGAAATCACTGTAGCGGCGATATGTTTTCCATTCATCATTAGCAGTCGCAGTTCGACGTTGAACAGTTATAGTATATAATGCATATGTCCTCCCATGGTCATTACAGACTCCTGCCATAGTATATGGGTCATAATCAGCATAGACTATCAATTAAAACAAACAATAATGGATAGACGAAAAGAAAGATGGAAATAGTGGAAGAAACATGAAATGAAAAGCTGTTGAAAATGAGAGAAGTCAAATCAATATGGACATGCAAGCTGCATGAAATTCTTCTTCATGTTATTCTATTTTTTTCCTATTTATCTCAAAAGGAAATGATGTGATGGGTATTATATGTATATATTATTTACTGTTACAAGAAAAAGCTTATATAAATTTCTGGAACTTAACCCTCATTCCTCATCTGAGAGATGAAAATAGAAATTACTTTTTTATTCAAATAAATTAGATGTTCATGTTATACTTCATCTATAAAAGATAGGTAGTTTTAATTAAGGGTAACTGAATTAATGATATTTATGTTCTTACGATTTATATTGTTTCCTAGTATGATTTGATTGCTTATTTGTACCATTAAGTGTTATATCTTATGATTCTTAACAAATGTATCTTATCTTTTTATGTACACTGAGAGCATATGCACCAAAGACAAATTCCTTGTGTGTCCAATCACACTTTGCCAATAAAGTATTGTATTCTGTTGTGTTGTGTTGTGTTGTGTATTGTATTGTATTGTATTGTATTGTATTGTATTGTATTGTATTGATTGTATTGTATTGTATTGTATTTATTGTATTGTATTGTATTGTATTGTATTGTATTGTATTGTATTGTACTGGTCATAATAGAAGGTCAACTTTTTCTGGCCATATTTAAGATTGTGCAAGATCTCTTGCACAAAATTAGTCAAGTTAGGAAACTGCAGTAGATTGACCCAAAGGTGCTTTCAAAAGGCAACTGGACTTTGTTTTCTTTTAAAGACATTTCACTTCTCATCCAAGAAGCTTCTTCAGTTCTGACTGAATGGTGGAGAATGGAAGGGTTTATATTCCTTGCAATCATTTGGTAGTTAGCACTCTTTCTGAGAGTCACTGAAGGTTTATCTATGCCCTCAGGGTCATCTGATTAGTGCAAATGGGTGTGGATCCTTCTTGGAACTGCTGAAAGGACTATGTTGTAATCAGGGGATAAGTTATGTCATATCCCTCCCCCTCTGTTGAGAGAGGGCTGTTCAATCTTAATGTAATGGCTTCTTTGATCCCACTTTCAAACCATAATGTGGACAGAAAGGACCAGGGATCATAGGCCATCACTTTAAGACTGACAGAGAGGGAGAGATATGACACCACCTATCTCCTGTTTTCAATGGTATAAGGCAAAGCCCAGTACCTTTGGGGACCTGGCAGGGCAGGATGGTGGGGGGATAGATATGTGCGCATGCTGCAGCATTTCTGCAAAGTTAAGAATTCTATAGAATAGAATAGAATTCTATTCTATAAGAGCAAATGACTGGGTGACTTCTGTAGAATTCATAATTTTGAAACAGAGTTGTTATGTAGTTTTTGGAAGGTATATTGAAATTTTGAATGATCATTAAAAGATCTGTCGTACCTTGAAGATTACCTATACTGTACTGAAAGGTGATAGAGCACTGAAGTGATAAATATAAGATGTTAGCAGGATGCATAATTTGGACAGCAATGCATATTGTGCTTGTATCTTTACCATATTCCAATATAATTGATGTTAATTCTTTATTTGGTTTTATAGAATGATTGATTGAATGAAAGAAAAAATATCACAAGTGAAAAAAAAAACATGTTCAGAGAATGAAAGACCCACAGATATGAAATCATGTATCTCAAATGATACATGAAAAAGGATAATAAGACAGGCATTTTTACTGGATGTAAATGGAAAATTAATCTTAAATATCTAATGTCTTTCTTCTTGAATTTTCTGCATAATAACACCATGAAAACAAATGATGATAATGGATAAAATTATATTAAACAAATAATTAAAAGGTTAATCAGTTAGTTACTTTACCTTTCATAAAAACACAAATACCAATGCTAAACTCACCAGTATCTGAAATGCATGCATGTAGCTGTATCAACTCATCAGCAGACACATTTGAAAGATCATCCAGTGACTAGTGGGTGAAAGAAAAGCAACAGTAATTATTTATATTCCAGAAATATTATTGCACAAATGGTAAGGTATTGTTTTTCAATGCAGTCTTTTAACTTTGGAATTTCTTTTGAATTAGGTATACCCAGTACTACCATTTCTATTTTCTAATGTTAAACAAAGACATTTTTATTCTCCCAAGATTTCTGAGAATTTGTTAATGTTGTTGTGAGTTTTACCTTTGCATCAGTTTTACCTGATGCTTTTTACTTTTCTGATACTGTTAGATTTTAAAATATTGCTATGTATGTTTTGTTCTATTGCCTTTAACCGCATGTTTTTCTTGTAACCAGCTACTTAACTACTTTTAAAATAAAATAGTCTCAAAAACAAAACTATATTCTTAACTTTTATTTGCTCATGATTTACTTTATCAATGTCATAATGAAAAATATTAAAGTTCGAAGTTCTAATTAAAATATATTATCTGCCACTTTTTTGTGCAGAGAACTTGCAAAAGTGCTTCACCTGTTTAAGACTCAGGGATTTTTGAAAAAGTGACACAGAACAGATAATTGAAAAGTAATTCTTTTACCCCCTTCATGGATTACTGTCTTGTGGCGAAGGAGCTTGCGCAGCTCACTGATGCTATGAGCTATTCTGTGCAGGGCCACCCAAGATGGACAGGTCATAGCAGAGAGCTCTGACAAAACATGATCCACTGGAGAAGGAAATGGCAATCCACTCCAGTATCTTTGTCATGAAAACCCATGTACAATACCAAAAGGAAAAAAGATATGATGCTGGAAGATGAGCCCCTCAGGTCAGAAGGTGTCCAATATGCTACTGGGGGAGAGCAGAGGGCTAGCACTAGTAGCACCAGAAAGAGTGAAACGACTGGGCCAAAGCCGAAAGGACACTCAGCTGTGGATGTATCTGGTGGTGAAAAGAAAATCCAATGCTGTAAAGATCTATTCTCCATAGGAAACTGGAATGTAAGATCCATGAATCAAGGCAAGCTGGATGTGGTCAAACAAGAGATGACAAGACTGAACATAGACATTTTAGGAATTAGCGAACTAAAATGGACAGGAATGGGTGAATTTAATTCAGATGACCATCAGGTATACTACTGCGGGCAAGAATCCCTCAGAAGAAATGGAGTAGCTTTCATAGTCAATAAAAGAGTAGGAAAAGCAATACTAGGATACCATCCCCAAAATGACAGAATGATCTCAGTTCGAATCCAAGGCAAACCATTCAATATCACAGTAGTCCAAGTCTATGCCCCAACAACTGGTGCTGAAGAGGATGAAATTGACTGGTTCTATGAAGCCCTACAACACCTTATAGGATTAATACCAAAAAATGATGTCCTTATCATCATGGGGATTGGAATGCTAAAACAGGAAGCCAAAAAATAACCGGAATAACAGGCAAGTTTGGCATTGGAGTACAAAATGAAGCAGGGCACAGGCTGATAGAATTCTGTCAAGATAATAAGATGGTCATAGCAAACAGTCTTTTTCAACAACCCAAGAGACGACTCTACACATGGACATTACCATACGGTCCACACAGAAATCAGATTGACTATGTCATCTGCAGCCAAATATGGAGAAGCTCTATACAGTCAGTAAAAACAAGACCAGGAGTTGACTGTGGTTCAGATTATAAGATTCTCGTTGCAAATTTAGGCTTAAATTGAAGAAAGTAGGGAAAAGCACTAGACCACTTAGGTATAAACTAAATCATATCCCTAATGAATATACAGTAGAGGTGACAAATAGATTTAAGGAATTAGATCTGATAGACAGAGTGCCTGAAGAACTATGGATAGAGGTTCGCAACATTGAATAAGAGGTAGCAACTAAAACCATTCAAAAGAAAAAGAAACGCAAGAAAGCAAAATGGCTGTTGGAGGAAGCTTTGCAAATAGCTGAGGAAAGAAGGGAAGAGAAGGGCAAGGGAGAAAGAGAAAGATACACCCAACTGGATGCAGAATTCCAGAGAATATCTAGAAGAGATAAGAAAGCCTTCTTAAATGAACAGTGCAAAGAAATAGAAGAAAACAGTAGAATAGGGAGAACCAGAGATCTCTTCAAAAAAATTGGAGATATGAAAGGAACATTTCATGTAAAAATGGGCATGATAAAGAACCAAAATGGCAGGGACCTAACAGAGGCAGAAGAGACTAAGAAGAGGTGGCAAAATTACACAGAAGAATTATACAAGAACAAACTTAACATCCCTGATAACCAAGATGGGGTGGTCACTGAGCTTGAGCCAGACATCCTAGAATGTGAAGTCAAATGGGCCTTAGAAAATCTGAGCAACAACAAAGCTAGTGGAAGTGACGGTATACCAGCTGAGCTATTCAAAATCTTAAAAGACGATGTAGTAGAAGTGCTACACTCAATTTGCCAGCAAATTTGGAAAACTCCAATTCCAAAGAAAGACAATGCCAAAGAATGTCCAAACTATCACACCACTGCAGTCATTTCACATGCTAGTAAATTTATGCTTAAAACCCTACTGCTGAAGTATGTGGATCGAGAACTACCAGAAGTACAGGCAGGATTTTGCAGAGGCAGAGGAACTAGAGATCAAATTGCCAACATACGCTGGATCATTGAGAAAGCTAGGGCATTCTAGAAAAACATCTACTACTGCTTCATTGAGTATGCTAAAGCCTTTGGTTGTGTGGATTTACAACAAATTGTGACAAGTTCTTAAAGAGATGGGAGTACCAGACCATCTTATTTGTCTCTTGAGAAACCTATATGCGGGTCAAGAAGCAACAGTGAAAACTGGACACGGAACCACTGATTGATTCAAAATTGGGAAAGGAGTCCGGTAAGGCTATATACTGTCACCCTGCCTATTTAATTTATATGAAGAGCACATCATGAGAAAGGCAGGGCTAGATGAATCAAAAGTTGGAATTAAGATTGCTGGGAGAAATATCAACAACCTCAGATATGCAGATGATACTACTCTAATGGTAGAAAGTGAAGAGGAACTAAAGAGCCTCTTGATGCAGGTGAAGAAGGAGAGTGAAAAAGTTGGCTTGAAACGCAACATCAAGAAAACTAAGATCATGGCATCTGGCCTTCTCAATTCCTGCAAATAGATGGGGAAGAAATGGAGGTAGTGACAGATTTTATTTTCCTGGGCTTTCCAGATGGGGACTGCAGCCAAGAAATAAAAAGACACTTGCTCCTGGGGAGGAAAGCTATGGCAAATCTAGGCAGCAAACTAAAATGCAGAGACATCACCCTACTAACAAAAGTCAAAAATCATAGTCAAGACTATGGTTTTTCCAGTTGCAATGTATGACTGTGAAAGTTGGACCATAAGAAAGGCTGAGCGCCAAAGAATTGAGGCCTTTTATCTATGGTGCTGGAGAAGACTCCTGTGAGGCGATCAAACCTGTCAGTCCTAGAGGAGATCAAACCTGACTGCTCTTTAGAAGGCCAGATCCTGAAGATGAAACTCAAATACTTTGGCCACCTAATGAGAAGGAAGGACTCACTGAAGAAGAGCCTAATGCTGGGAAAGATTGAGGGCAAAAGAAGACGGGGATGACAGAGAATGTGGTGGCTGGATGGAATCACTAAAGCAGTCAGCGTGAGCTTAAATGGACTCCAGAGGATGGTAGAGGACAGGAAGACCTGGAGGAATGTTGTCCATAGGGTCACGATGAGTCAGACATGACTTTGCAACTAACAACAACAAATATTTTTACTGATAATCATTCTTTCTGGTATATGATGACTAGGATGACCAAACAGATCAAATCAAACTTGGCCCTTTTTCTCACTTTTATACATACATACATACTTTCACTTCTTTAAACAAACATCAAGAGAATACGCTGGCTTTTTAAAAATCGTAAAATTTTCTTTATAGTATCGTTATTATTTCACTGGTTGCTCTTGTCTTAAATAAACAATATTTTGAACTTCTTTAATGTTGAAAAACACACCTACCAAATTAATGCTGCCTGTAGGAGATCCATTAAATGATTCTGTGTAAAGAGAACATTTTTTTAAATAAAAAGCCATACAATGGAAATACACATTGAACCATGAATTTAAAATTATGTACACACTAAAATACTTGGTTTCAGTATGAAAAAATGATAGTGATTAACTGGTTAATACATTAAAATATTAACTAGTTAATCACCATGTTTTTTTCACCCTAAATCCGTTTATTTTACCGCATATTAAATAATGAGTGATAAGAAATGGAAAGCTTGAACTGAGAGGTGAATTTTAGGACACTGCCTAGATACAAAGTATTATAACACCTCACTTATGATATTGCTTTTAATCACACTTTTTTCTCCTGTTTTTAAAGATATTATGATTTCTCCCTATTGTGTTTAAAAATATAAATTTCTCTATAATGGATAATCTTACTATTTAACATACTAGGAACTAAACATTATTACAATTTAAGATCATTATAAAGAAAGAAAAAGCCAAGGTATTATAACTCTGAAGTCACAATAATTATAAAATTTAAAAAGAAATAGTGAAATATCCATCCATCTACCCTGTTTTCCTGAAAATAAGACATCCCCTGATAATAATCGGGCTTTTGAGCACATGCGCTAAAATAAGCCTCCCCCCGAAAATAAGCCCTCCCTGAAAATATTTAAACGCAGAGCTGGAAATCAGGTAAGATGGCAAGAGAAGCCCCATCTTGCTCCACGTGCCCCAAAATAATAAGACCTCCCCGAAAATAAGGCCAAGCGCTTATTTCGGGGTTCAAAAAAATATACGACAGGGTCTTATTTTCGGGGAAACACGGTATTATTTTAAATAAGTTGAAACAAATTAAATTAATTACTAGCAGGGAATCCTTAGCACTGTTGACTGCTAAAATTGAAATGAAAATTTATGCTATTGTCAACATAGGCCACTAGGAGGTAGCCAAGCATATATTTTGTTTATAACACTAGAAGTACATTTAATGTAAGGATTAAAGAGACAAGAGTGTTATACAGTAAGAGTTTCTGCATAAGCTTAAAAAAAGGCCATATTTAATTTTACTCCTAAAAGTTATTCTTAAAGAAGGAACATGTTTTTTCAGGTTTTTGTAGAAGTATGAAAATAGTCATATTCCTTTAACGACTAGCAAATTCACACCTGTGGAATATGAAACACTTTTTCAGAATCAAAGCTTCACACTATCTGTTACTGTGGAAATTTGCAATGGAACAGCAACAAAGCAGCCAAAGTATGCAAAAAATGGAATATCCCCAATTCTTATATGTAGATGTGTGCAAAATTTCCCCAAATTATTTTTAGTGCATCTACATAAGCCTCTTTGCAAAAAAAAAAAAATAAATATTATCTGATGAGGAAAAATTACTTACTTTCTGCCTACTATATTTTTCGGAGTATAAGACACACTTTTTTCTCTCCTAAAAGAGACTGAAAATTTGGGTGTGTCTTATACTCCGAATGTAACCCTGCCTACCCGCCGGCCTCTGCGTGTCCTCTTCCTGGCTGTAGAGATTGCCACTGACAATGGCTTGTGTTTTTGGGCTCTGCGTGTTGCGTTTCCAGCCTCCAAATGCTCTATTTGAGAGCCCTTCAAGGCTGCGGAGATCGCCAAAGCACATTGCCACTGATTGCCCAATCATCGCCCAAAAATGCGATGTGTTTGGAGGCTGAAAACGTGAGGCGTGGTGCCCAAAATGGCTACCTAGATCAGCTGCTGCCTTCTCTTACCACTTCTGTGCTTTAGTCACTGGAGATCCCTACGACGATCAGCTGTGCTTTTGAAGCTGTTTTTCAGCCCCAATGTGATCTCCTGTGTTTTGCCTGCTTTTCTAATTGCTGCTCCCTCCGATGATCAGCTGTGCTTTAGAAGATGTTTTTCAGCCCCAACCACAAAATCAGTGAGCAAACTAATGTGCTGAAGCTGGCCAGGCTAAAGATGCTAGCCAGATGAATAACTGTTAGGCAGACTATTTCCTCCCCCCCTCTATTTTCCTCCTAAAAAACTAAGGTGTGTCTTATACTCCGGTGCGTCTTATACTCCGAAAAATATGGTACTTATTTATACTTACAGGTATAAGCCTACCTGATGTGGATAACTTACCCCCTTCACCGTCATCTGATCCTCTGAAACTAGGATCCTTTAGCATATCTAGCTCAGCAAGCATTCGTACATAAAGTGCATGCTGTTTGAATGAAGGATAGAATCTTTCATCTTGCAGCATCAATTCATATACCTTAATGAAATTAAAGCTTAATATTATGCAAAATAGATAATCTAAATCATAAAGCACCTTGTTGTATAAAGGTGCATTTAGATGAAAATAATGAAATAAGTATTTGCATTATTATTCTACATTTCAGTCTAGAAATCAACAAAAAGTCATAAATATTGACAGATATTCAGTCAGTTTAGTAGAAGAGAATAAAACAGTTTACCTTTCTTTGAATCTGATCAAAAATTTCAGGTGTTGGGTCCTCATTATTCAACTTTTCTTCCAGCTTCGCTACTAATGGATCATCGATATTAATTCTTGGAGAAGCCTACCATACAGAATTACATTATTTTAGTTTTTATTTTCATTCATTTATTTGTAAAAATTAAAAATCAACCTTTATTATTAAAGATACAATAAAGCTAGAGAACTATAAAACTGTATCAGTTATTTTAATAAAAGCAAAGAACTCAAGTAGTTCAAGTGATTCATAAAAATTATAGCATTTCATTTTGAGGTATTGGAAAGAATATTTACAAGTGACATATAAATTGAAATAATTATATGAGGTTGAGATAAGAAGAAGTAGAAATATAGTTCAAACACCCACAGCTTTACTCTTAAGATCTGGAATTCTCTGACTCAGTTTTTGAATATACAAGAATGAAAACAAATATAAAGGCAATTCTAAAAATAGAAATAACCATTTATTTATATATTAATTCTCCAGGATTTTTCACAGTAAGCATCTTAAAGTTTTTTGAAAAATGAACTGGATGTTTGGCGATTATACAGTTATCCAGCACACAGATATCAAAAAGACTTCTCCATTAATTATAGAAATATTTATTATGGTGATATTTATCAGTTGTGACAATACAATTTTTTTTACTAAGCCATCTTTGTATATGTGAGTGCCTAAAATATGGTAAAACTAGCTTTTACATTTAGTTTACTCGTATCATAGGACAACCTTCATTCTTGGCAAGGTGTGGTGTCCCCCCCTTCATATTAAAAAAATCCGATATCCTGAATGATTGTGAACCAATGGAGATGGAAGGTAGAAAAAATGAGCATGTATAACTTGCTTGTCAATACGATAACCATGTAGAAAGTACTTATATCACACTACTGCTTGTATACTTTCTAGGTCATCCCAGGCATTTCTATAATTTCCTATTTTCTGACAAGAAATCTTCCATAACATAATATGGCAAAATTTTGTGTGGCAGCATGTAAGAACAGGAAGTTTCTGATTTCTTCACAATCCTTAGACTGATTTTTCTTTCTAAGCTTTGTAATATTTTTCCTAAGCTCCTTTGTATTTTTTTTTAATACAGCAGTTAATTGCTTTTCAGATGTATGTTTTCTATTTTAGGCCAGATGTTTTAATATGCATGATTGTACTGTTTTATGTACTTTCTAGTTATTATAGATTCTGATATACTGCACATAGGGTACCCTATATATTATACGGGGTAATTTTATATGTTCTATTTTATCTCCATTCAAGATTAGTTTGCATACAAATTTATTCCTTGATTTAGGACTATGAGTTTTGTGCCATTTTACAACCTTTCTTGCCATAGTTGTTAAGTGAATTACTGCAGTTTTTTTTTTAAAATTTGAGTTATATGCCACCCTTCTCCGGAGACTCAGGGCATCTTACAATGCGTTAAGCAATAGCCTTCATACTTTTGTATATTTATACAAAGTCAGCTTACTTCCCCCACAAACTGGGTCCTCAAATTACCTACCTTAGAAAGGATGGAAGGCTGAGTCAACCTTGAGCCTGGTGAGATTCGAACTTACAGTAATTGCAGACAGCTGGTGTTAATCACAATGCTATCAGTCTGCTGAGCCACCAGGCCCTTAGTAACAGGGTTGTTAATTTCCCTATTGACTTTTTTGTGAGAAGATCACAAAATTTTCTGGTTGTAGAAAATGTTATCACATGACTCTGGGACATTGCCACCATTATAAATATGAGTCAACTGCCAAGCATCCAAATTTTGACAATTTGTGAATATGGGCTTGCTACAAGAGTCATAAGTGTGAAAAACGATCATGTTACTTTTTTCAGTGCCATTGTAACTTCAGTCACTAAATGAACAATTTTAAGTTGAGGACTACTTGTAATATATTCTTCCAACTGTGATTCTTTTTATTATTATGATTTTAGTGGCTAGTACAGGAGACTTCACTATCTTTTGATTAGTTTTAGAGTGGTACCTACGTACTCAACCGTTTTGAAACTCATTGAATTTGGTACTCAACACATTTTGACGTGAAATTTTTGTCCCAGTACTTACTGTTTGTTGGGAATCAGTGCACAAGCTAGAACTTATCAGTGTCAGATGCCTTGTAGCTCACTACTTTATTCCCTATGGGAAAAATTTATTTGGTACTCATTGTTTTTGACACTCATTGCGCCTCCTGGAACCATTTAACAATGAGTAACAGTACTACTGTATATGCTACCTTAATTATATTGTATGATTTTTAAAAAACTTTTTATATTAAGTGTTCTATGTTAGTCTGATTATAATAAAGTTTAAGTACCTTTTGTTTTAAAAGAATCAATTCTTACCTTTTCTGATAAATACTGTTCATATATTCCAACTGCAGCTGTTCTTAATAGACCTTTGGTTTGTGTTGTTTGATGCATTCCATCCTTCTGATGGTTCAGCAATACTTCCAGCTGTTTCTGAGCTGTAACCCTGTATCCTTCTACTGTTATCCAGAAAAAAAGATGTGCTTGACCTCCCATCTGCTGCATGTAATCTAAACAAAAGTAACAATGATTTATTTTGATTTATGTTGGTGTGGTTGTTTTGATTACGTGAGTTGCCCAGAGTCATGAAAATGAGATGGGCAGTTATACAAATCAAATCAAGTAATTAAACAAACAATTCAATCATTATAATGGTTATATTTAAAACATCTTCTAATTGATGGAATCCCTTCTTTCTTTAAAAATGCCAATTGCATTCACACTGATTTTCTGAAGCAATGTTTTCTAACAGGGATGCACTATTAAAAAGCAGTTACATATGCTCCACAATGATTTACAGATGCTCTACAATCTGAGTCCTCATTTTACCGACCTTGGAAGGATGGGTGACTGAGTCAGTCTTGACCAGTCAGGATCGAAGTCCCAGAAATGGGCAGTTAGCCTGCAATACTGCATTCTAACCACTGTGCTACCATGACATATTATGTTACTTGGCCCTTGAAGTGTAAGAAGTCATCTTTTGCATATGATTGATTTTCTTTGTTATGTACTGCTACATATTTTAGGTTCTAAATGCAGACCGTCAGTTGGGGACCCTTCTGTTAGTATTGTGTCTTTTGTTATATGTTTATACCAGGGGTGGTTCTAAATTTTTTTTACTACCGGTTCTGTGGGCATGGCTTATTTTGTGGGCGTGGCTTGGGGGTTAATGTGACTGGGTGGGCGGGGCCAATTTTTTAAAAAAAAACTTTTAAAAGCATTTTTCTACAACCTCAAGAGGTTGCAGAAAAAAATGGTTTTACAAATTTCTGACGATCAGGCAAATCTGCTGGGATTGCCAGAGGCTTTTAAAGGGATTTTTTTTCCTACAACCTCTTCGGCTGAAGTGGTTGCAGAAAAAATGCTTTTAAAAGTAAAAACAAACAAACAAACAAACAACCTCTCATGAGGTGGGCAGGGTAAGCGAGCTGCGACCAGGCCGGGGACCGGTTTGGGGGCGTGGCCAACAAATGTTATTACTGGTTCTCCGAATTACTAAAAATTTTTACTACTGGTTCTTGCAAACTGGTGCGAACTGGGAGCAGCCCACCACTGGTTTATATAATGTTTCAATCGGCACATTGTAAGAAGTGTACAGTTAGATCAACAATACAATTCTATAATACACCAACACAAAAATATCTTTAAAATATTACATAAAATGTAACAACTTTAGATAAAACAGTTGTTGAAATCACTCTGAGGAGTTATGAAACAATCAGGTATTAATGAACATTTGCAAAATCGTAACAGATACCATTGCTTCTGGAGACAGCTTCTATCAAAAGAGAGGGACTTTATAGAACTTTGTCTATGATTCCTGCAGTGCCATGTCTGATAGCAGACATCTTTCAGCAAGCATTTTCTACTCATTTGAGCTGGCTAGAGCCTATCTGGAAATTCAGATACCCAGTTCCTGAGCAACACAAGTTATTATAACTAGCACTTATACAGGTAGTCCTCCACTTATGAAATAGAGCCTGTCCATTGTCAGAAGTCGGGGCTACATTAAATACAGCACTAACGACCTCCTTGTCCCTGCTTTCCCCAATGCATTTGTTAAACAAATGTATGAATTATTACAGTAGGTAGAGCATGGGGTGACTCAGGGATGGAGGAAACCGAGGGAGGCTTAGTGCAGGCACAACCATTCCCATGAGGCCTTCTCCATCCTCTAAGATACCCCATGCTCTGCCTCCTGACCTTTGGTTTCCCCAAAGACTTACAGGCCTCTTCCATACCGCTTACTTACTTTTTTATGAGCTCAGGAAGTCAGCATAGATAAGGCTCCTCCCTCACTGGACCACGTGACATAATCAAGAAGAAGAAATCCGATGTTTTGCTTCCATTCCAATCCTACTACTTCAATTTCTTCTTAGCCCTGCCAGCACTAGGATTACGCTGGCAGAGCTAAGAAGGTATCATAGTGGTTTATGCTGTCTGGGGGGGAAAGGATTCCCATGGAAACAAAAGAGATTGGATTTCTTCTTCTTGATTATGCCACTTGACCCAGTGAGGGAAAAGCCTTCTCTCTGCTGACTATCTGAGCTCGTCCAAAAGTAAGTAAGTGAATGGTGATAGGGGAGCGGGGATGGAAAGGAATGCATAGAACCCAGCATATTGGCAAAGCAAACCAACATACTGGGTTCTGGGGGACTTCTGAGGACCTGAGCGGGCAAGATGGAGGAAAATAGATGAGTGGGTGTGCTGCAGCGTCTCTGGTCAGTTGTAAGGGTGAGTGACCTTTGGGGGGGAGCTGTATAATTTGTAACTTTGAAACAATTCATATTTAGCACTTGGGGTATGAATTGTAACTTCGAACATTCATTGAATAGATTGTTGTACTTCAAGGATTACTTGTACTGTACTTGGAAACACACTGGTAGCTAATGAAACAACAGTAATGGGAATGTTACATGGCTACATGTTCTCATTCCAATAAGTCAAAAGTAATTTTTAAAATTATGGTAGCCAAAATATGCCTTAAATATCTCCTTGCTTTGCTAAAACTGCTGGATGAATTTAGTAAGTAAGTAATGGAGTCAAAGGTCTACAAAGTTTAGGCAAGTACACGAAGAACTTTGAAACATTATTGAAAGAAATTCCAATTGTGGCAGTGGACTGACTAGGTTTCATTTTCTTCCTGACCACCTAATCTTCAGGCAGCTTTTTTTGGAAGAAATAATTGAAAGAAATGTGACACATTTGCCAGACTAGTTATTCTTGTGATCCTTGGGTGGTGAGCAAGAGAGCATACAGTTTCTTCTAAATTTCCACTGCTTTCAAAAGCTACAAGATGGGATTTTAAGATGTGACCTGATAAAACATGAAACATTCAAATTTTTATATTGAGATAATGCACCCAACTCAAGAACGTTTCTACAGAATACTGTGAACAAACCAATTTTTTCTGAATTGAAAACAAGTGTTTTATGGATTTCATGCATATTCAGATTCATTGACATGAATGTTGAAGATAGATGATCTTTTTTAAACAGTAACCACCATAGAGCTTAAAGGCAAATCTCAGTAGGTTATATTATTTTGCTTGATATTTTTAATGGAGAAAAGCTGATACTATCTAAAATCCATCCAATCGGCATAAAATACTAAATTTAAATAGAATTAATGACTGAATTTGTTTACATTTCTATGGCCTACAGCAGTTGTGACAAACTGGCGGCCAACGGGCTGAACACAGCCTGTGCAGGCCACACCACCTTGGCTCCGCAAAGGCAAAAAACATTGTGATACATCATGATACAGCCCGCGAAGCAAGCGGCTTTGACAGTCCTGACCTATAGCTTACTTAACTGTGTGGATATTTGAGAAAGAGAAACAGCCATCTTTTCATTAAATCTGTTTAATGAATAAAAAAATAGATGGGAATCAAAAAAGTCCTCACATCAGTTATCTTTATTCATTTTTAGGTAAATACATGCACATTTATAGCATCCTGTTACAGTACTACAGTTTTAATCATGCAATATATATGCATTTCCAACTACTGTTTTCTTACCCATAAAAAACTGTAGTGCAACATTGTTTACTAGAATGTTGTCCAGAGGGACTGTGCAAAGTTTTCCAAAATTTGCAGCCAGTTTCACAGTATCTATTTCCTGAATAAAGGTACAATACATTAATAGATATGGCTATGCAATATTTATACAACATGGCTTATTTTTGCTACATATCAAAATCAGGGATGATGTCTTCTCGTAAGATTTTAGGTACAGTGATTCATGAATAAAGTTTAACTTTAACTTGCATGTACAATTTAAAAATTTGTTTGATAATGGATTGGCAATAAATTCTTTATCGTGAGCTAGGATCTTAGTTCAGTAGCAATCAGATATATGCAAAACTAGTATGTTTTTTTTAGACTGATGTGATATGAGAACCTAACCTGACAAATTCAAGCTTTCGACATTCATTAACTATTGAAAACAATGCAAAAGATTTTGATAACACTGAGCTCTATTATTTGATTTAGAAAATCAAGTCTCAGTTGGCTCAGATGCTTATGTATAATCGCAATACATGAAACATACTTACTTTTCCTGACTGTAGCCTCAGTATTCTTGAATCACATACTTTCTTAACAAAGAGTAAGCTATTTATCTGATTTTTTATATGGTTAATATCTGAAAAGAAAATCAAGTAAGATTTAAAAGGATAAAACACATCTATTTAAATTCTTAATGAATTGGAAATGTATTGCTTAAGGCTACATAGAAGAAGATAATCAAATGTCTCTGAAAAAAATGAATGCATTTTTTTTTCAAAACGGAATCAATGCTGTTATTGATAAGCACAGAACTATTAACTATCAGCTAAACAATGCCGGCTGGTGGGCCCACGGGGTACGCCCTTCTCTGTGGCGCCCCCAGTTCTCTGGCACCAGTTACCTCCTGAGGTCCGGGCCATCCCTACCCTATTGGCCTGCCGATAAGCGGTGAAGACCTGGCTTTTCCGGCAGGCCTGGGGCTGTTGATCTCGCTCTTGTGATCTGGCGAGATCCGGCCATGAATGGAATGAATGAATTTTTAATGTTTTTAATGTTTTTAATTTTTAAATGTTTTTTATAATGATTTTTTAAAATGTTTTTTTGTTTTTGTTTTTGTTTTTGGATTTGATTTATATGCCGCCCTTCTCCGGAGACTCAGGGCGGCTTACAATGCGTTAAACAATAGCCTTCATACTTTTGTATATTTTTATACAAAGTCAGCTTATTGCCCCCACAATCCGGGTCCTCATTTTACCTACCTTAGAAAGGATGGAAGGCTGAGTCAACCTTGAGCCTGGTGAGATTTGAACTTGCAATAATTGCAGGCAGCTGATGTTAATGTATTGTATTGTGAGCCACCCTGAGTCTTCGGAGAGGGGCGGCATATAAATTTAATTAATTAAATTAAATTAAATTAAATTAAATTAAATTAAATTAAATTAAATTAAATTAAATTAAACTAAGTTAATATGTGCTGGCAATGAAAATTTGGCTATTGTGAACTATTTTAGTAGATTATATTATATTTTTCTATGAGAAAATATTTTAAAAGCTAGCATTCATTCTAAATGAAATACACTTTAAAATCATGAGTACATTATGGATATAATCCACATACAGACGGGAGGTTGAACAACTAGCCTTGTGGTGCGACCGGAACCGAACACACTCAAAACCATAGAAATTGTGGTAGACTTTAGGAGAAACCCTCCCATACTACCACCTCTTACAATACTAGGCAACACAGTATCAACAGTAGAGACTTTCTAGGTTCTATCATATCTCAAGACCTAAAATGGACACCTAACATAAAAAACACCATCAGAAAAGCACAACAGAGAATGTTCTTTCTGCGCCAACTCAGGAAGCTCAAATTGTCCAAGGAACTGCTGATGCAGTTCTACAGAGGAACTATTGAGTCTGTCATCTGCACCTTTATAACTGCCTGGTTTGGTTCTGCAACCCAAAAGACAGACACAGACTTCAGAGGATAGTTAGAACTGCAGAAAAAACAATTACGACCAACCTGCCTTCCATTGAGGACCTGTATATTGCACGAGTCAAAAAGAGGGCTGTGAGCATATTTACAGACCCCTTGCATCCTGGACATAAATTGTTTCAATTCCTACCCTCAAAACAATACTATAGAGCACTGCACCCCAAGACAATTAGATACAAGAACAGTTTTTCCCCGAATGCCATCACTTTGCTAAACAAATAATTCCCTCAACACTGTCAAACTATTCACATTAGGCTGCATTACTATTGCTATTGGTCTTCTCATCATTCCTGTCGCCTATCTCCTCCCACTTGTGACTGCATGACTGTAACTTTGTTGCTTGTATCCTTGCAATTTATATTTATATTGATTGTTTCCTAGTATGATTTGATTGCTTATTATACCGTATGACTATCACTGGGTGTTGTGCCTTATGATTCTTGACGAATGTATCTTGTCTTTTTATGTACACAAAGGGCATATGCACCAAAAACAAATCACACTTGGCCAATAAAGAATTCTGTTCTGTTCTGTTCTGTTCTATTCTATTCTATTCTATATGCACTGCACTTACTGTATATTGGTTTTTATAAGTACAATTTTTGAAAACTTAGGGATTAACTCATTATTTAGCACAAAATTAATTATGATGGACAACTCATTTTAAAATAAAATTGTATTTCAAAGCAAATTCAGCCCTTACAAATGCATAAATTGCCAAGAACCAAGAGTGGATTTGGAATTACTTAAGAGTAGTTTCCTTTATTGTCTTTCACACCTACAGACAAAATCTTGCTGGATTAAAGCAACTATTTGCATAGCTAGAGATAGACTATGAGAATAGTCAGTGACGACTCGCGGAGTGGGTGAGGGTGCTTTTGACAGCTCCCGAAAACCCAGCTAATTCCTGATTTGGAGCCCTTTCAAGGGCAATTCCAGGCTCAGGGGGTCTGGAATATTAAAGGGGAAGGTTTGATTCTTGGGTGAGACCCTAGCGCCCTGGAGAAAGAAAGCCGGACCCCTTAAATCCTGCAGGGAAAAATCTGCCTTTAAGGCAGATCAGGAGCGATGGCGGCTGCCTTAGTGAGGAAGCAAAAAGTGGTATCAGCGGCAGTGATCATTTGAAAGCGGAGAAAGAAAGAAAAAGTGATACTTAAAAAAAGATTACGAGAAAGAGAGACGCGGGGAGCAGAGAAAGCAGCGATCGAGAGGGAGTGCGCTTAAAAGGAGGCGATCGAACGAAGACAGCAAAGACGGCGGAAGGAGTGAAAGTAGAAGCAACAAAGAAAATACAAAGTAACAACCAGGATTATTGCGGAGGAACTACGATGTTAGACAGAAAAAGAGTAAATTAATAGTGATTTTTGGAACTAAGATTAGAACTGAGAACTTTCCTCTCCTTAATTGATAAAATTGGTGTAGGTGGACAGAAAATATTGGGAAGAAAACTGTGGTCAGAAAATTAAAATAGACAATCAAATTCTATGGATTTATAAATACCAGGAAAGACAGTGGAATGTAAATTGGTGTAAGACTGAGAAGTGGGACAGATCGGATGGTGGAGTGAAGAGTGGCAAGGGTGATAACAATAAAATGGACAAGCTGATGCAATAAGGTGTGGAAGAACTGGAAGAAGGCAGTCTTAAAAAAAAAAGAATTTTAAAGAGAGAAATTTGCTGTAAAAGATTGAATTTTGGTTTGAGTATTATTTTTGAAATTGTAACTGGAGTATTTTTGAAATTGTAATTGTAACCGGAGAAGGGGGGTATTTTGTTTTGCTGAAAAGGCTTTATTGTTACATAGAAGATTAAGAGTTGAAGGGGAATATATATATAGGACGGAAAAAGGGATTGTTTAAAACAGGGTAAAATCTCTAAATAAAAAATAGCTTTAGAAAACTGTAATTTAAAATTCAAGGATTAAAAGGCTTAAGGATTAAATAATAACAAATAGATAACAATCATAAGTGAGAGGTTTTAAGATTAGTTAAATTGAATTGTAATAGGTTAGAATGATCTCTAAATTTTTTTATGAAATTGTGGAGGAACTTGACAAGAAATTTAACAATGTCAACAACAACAATAACAAAAACTGGAAAAAAAACTGTATCAACCCCAACCTTGATGCCTTCCCCCACAACCCAGCGTTCGATTGAAAGTATGCTGGGAAAGGAAAAAGATAAGATGGAACCAACGATGAGTACTATGCAGACCATGCTACAAATGATTCAAGAGATTTTAATGAAATCTCAAGAAAAGATGGCAGATCACCAAGAGGAAGCTAGAAGGTTCCATAAAGAAATTAAAAATGAAATAGGGGAATTAAAGGAAGATTTAAAGAGTATGAAGGAGAAGATGGAGAATATACAACAAACAGTAGTAGAGTGTCAACTTGCAAAGTTTTCAAGTTGCCATGAGCAGGAGGGAGGGAGAACTGAAGTGAATTCCATACATTTTTTCTGACCGCAATCAGAAAAAAGGTTTCACAGCCAGCCAAAGTGGTTAATTGGAGAATGTGATTTATGACATGGCCAGAGAGGAGGGGAGAGACAGGGTCATAGGGGAACGTAAATCTACATGGGATCAGTCCTAACTGCATCCGAGTATTGCCGGAATGTTGCTCCTAATAAATGACTATATTTCCTTTAAAGTTTGGATCATGGCTCATGAATTAATTAGGGCATCTTTCAGAAACTTGACATAGAGAATGAGCAGAAAGTCAAAAAAATAGAATCTAAAGTAGACTTATTGGATTTGAAACTAGAAATGGCAGAACAGGATGCTCAACAAGCAAATAAAGAACTGACTGATTCTATCGCATATTTAGAAATGGAAAAAGCTTCCTTCTTTTTGCGTTTTCAGAATGTGGCGGAAGAGAAAGAAGAAGATTTGGAAGGGAAGATGAGTGAAATAATATCAGGATTAACACAAAGAGATAAAGAGGAGGTAATAGACTCAATAGACGAAATATTCCGAGTACATAATAACTATATTAGAAGTCATCAATTGGCACAAGAAGTACACATTAGATTCAGTAAAAAAAACAATGAGAGACAAAATATATAAAAAATCCAGAGAGGAAACAGTATCTTATAAAGGAAAAGAGATTATTATATTAAAGCAAATCCCACAGAGAATACGAGACCAAAGAAAACAATATCATCAGCTGACATCCCAACTAATATAACACAAAGTGATGTTCCGATGGATTATGCCGGAAGGAATCCTTATTATGTGGCAAGATAAAAAATTCAAAATTGACTCTGTAGAAAAAGCACAGGAGTTTTACAAAAACTATTTGGAAGACGAACAAGAAAGTAAGGACGAATCAGAAAGTAAAAGTCAAGAAGAGGAACAAGAAGAAGAAATAGAAAGAGAGAAAGAAGCAAAGAAAGCCCAAGATAAAGAACGAGAAGAAAGAGAAGAGGAAGAGTTAAGAGAGAGACAAGAAATACAAAAAACAAGTACAGTAAGGGATGGAAGAAGCAATATCGTTATTCTCCGTGAAAATTAATGATTTAAATATACAGAAAAAAAGAACACAAACATTCTCAAAATTAAAGAAGTTAGACATAGATGTTATTTGTCTACAAGAAATTCACATAAAAAAAGGCTTTCAAAAATTATTGGAAAATAAGA